CATACCTCTCCTGCATACTCTAGCTTAGGTACAATCACATTCAAGAGAATACACCTCTTAATCCTAGTGTCTAGGTGTGGGTCCGTAAGGATCTCGTCCATCTTGCCTATCTGAGCTTTACCCTTCCCAATCAACTTCGCTATGTGTGCGTCCCATGAGCACTCCTTCGAAATCTCTACTCCCAGGTACGTACACTTGTCTACTACCGGTAGTTCTTCCTCCACCCATTTCCATTTGAATTCTACGGGATTTTTCTTGTCTTCGTTACAGACCACTACTGCGCATTTTCCTACGTTCGCCGACAGTCTCCATTTTCGGGTGTATCCTACCGCCGCGTCTATTTGTTCTTGCAACCCTTCTGGTGTTTCGGATACCCCCACGAAATCACCTGCAAACATCAGTCCGGACACACTCTTTCCCCCTACTTGGACTCCCTGTCTTACTGCTTCAACCGGAGGGGGGGGAGGGGGGGGTGTACTCATAGTCGTGCATGCCGTAGTCATTAGACCATTGACCTCGCATCCCTACAAAGCCGGGACGGAGCACGCCGGGTTCTCACCGGACCAGGCTCTCACATCACCAAGCGCGAAGCACCGTGAGGTATTTGGCGAGTCGCATGAAGGGTGAGCTGCATCCTGCTAAGGGTGTTCGGCATCTTGTGCTTACTTCCTTGCGTACGGATGACAGCTACGTATGACTTAATGTATTTTCTGGTGCTTTCACTTCCAGAGACAGTTGTAAGCACTGTGTAACTGCCTCGAGGGTGCTTGACCATTTTAACACAACGTGGTGCGATCATCCCCTCTTGCGCGGAGTGAGGTTTCTCCACCCCGCACCACATGATCTACTCGACCACCATTATGGTTACCGCCAAAAAAAAAAAACGAGGTAAAAAAAAAAAAAACGGTAACCTGGTTTCCGAGTTCACGAAGTGAATTGGCTTGTTTTACAACGTCGTTGCCAAGCGACGAAAACCCAATCCCGATGGCAAACACCGAGCAGGGGGCTTGTTTTACAACGTCGTTGCCAAGCGACGAAAACCCAACCCCGATGGTAAACACCGGGGGGGGGGGGGAATACAGCACTTTTTCGACGCCTCATTCAGCCGACGCGAGCGAGGACGGGGGCAAGGAGGCGAATGGGTGTATTAGGTCCGAAGCAATCGCAGATCATGCCATACCTCTCGCTTTGACACTCGGAGTCCCACGAACAGGATAAGCACACACAAAGCAACGAATATTGTAGGTCTTGAGCTACCCCCCCCCAGTGGGCCGGCAAAACCCCGGCATGTCGCTTCGTCCCAGCATTGTAGGATGCGAGGTCAATGGTCTAAGGACTACGCCATGTGTTTCAATGAGTATACTCCCCCCCCGCCCCGCCCCGCCGGCGAGGACGCGTGATCAATGGCCTAACAGCTAAGGCATGCAAAAACATGAGCACCCCCGCCCTGCCCCCCGTGTTCCTTCCTCTCTTCCTGCTTACAGGCCATGCAGTCCTGGTCGACTTCTCGTTGGCGAGAACAGGGTTGGACGTGGCCCCAGACGGCAAGACCTTCACCTTCTGCGGCAGCGCGGCGTACGCGGCACCGGAAATCATCACCAAGGAGTGAGTGACACGCGATGGGGCTTCGTGGGTGGTAACTTCATGGTTCATGGTGGGGGATCTGCGGGGACGTTTTGCTTTTTCTTAGGGTCGTGTCTTCCAGAAGCGTTGCTGTGGGCAGGCAGGCAAAGGGGGAATCATGTTCACTCTGTCACGGGTTGCGAAGACCGGCGGTACAGAAGCGTGTCTTCGTAGAGAAGGCTCCTAGGCTTGCAATGTGCCGCTTGGAACACTGCTACGTCCTGTTTGTGGGTATTTCGTATCAGAACATCTTCACGGCAGGTCTTGAGATGCCAATGACTGACTTCATCGCGACGCGGGTAGTGTGATGTCACTCCGCTCTTGTCCGTGTGACTCGACTACCATATGTTGTCCGATAAAGAATATCTTTGTCAAGAGCACTGGACATTTTGTTGCCGAAAGCATCGTTGGGCGACCTTCAGTGCACCCCTCCCCCCCCCATTGATCGGGTCGTTCACGTAGCTTACCTAACTCAGCCCATGTACGTACGTCTTCCCCAACCCCCAGAGGACACGACACGCGGGTGGACCTTTGGTCATTGGGATGCGTGGTGTTCGAGGCCCTGGTGGGAGAGCACCCCTTCCGACGCCCTCGGGGGGAGAAGGCGGACCACCGCCACCAGACCCAGGCTTTGTTCGACAGGATCCAACGCGGCCGGCTGGAGTACCCCAAGTCGCTGTCGGTGAGTCTTTTGGGGGGGGACGGGGGGGGTGTACACACGCGGCACACGTGTGTGCATGCGATTCCCGCGTATGATCCCTGTGCAAGGGTCCACGGCCTCGGGAGTACAGCCGAGCTTGGTGGCAAGCAGACGTTTGGCGGGTACGGTTCAAGAGATGTGACTTGAAAGAGACAGTACGAGTGTGAGAGATAAAACGATGATTGTCCAGGCCATGATACATGTTAGGTGCTTTTTGATGGCACGGTTATAAGAACACCGGAATGAACGTAGTGTTTTCGGTTTGCCCTGGCCCTCTCTTAAGGCGTAGCCGCTATCGTGCACGGCACACCCCCCTGTGTTGAGAGCTAGCTGCGTTTGGGGTTACTCACCTCTCCCCCTGGTTGTTCTTAGCAAACCAAATTCCTCTCTATCCGCCGAAATGCAATAGTCAAGGAGAATTAGCATATTAATTCATTCCTGTAGTGTTGTGTGCCCTACCTGTTTGTGTGCATGTTTTTTGTTCAGAACCTGCTTCCTTCCTCGTCTTATATCTACACGACATGGTGTTCGTTCTTGTTGTACGTGTGGTGGCGGCTTGCTTGTCACCTTTTTCGGTGTGCGCTCTCTGCGCGCAGGCACCCTCCTTGTCGCTGCTCCGAGGACTCCTCTCGCTCAACCCGGACGACCGCCCGGGCTTCTCCTCCTTCCGGCCAACACCAACACCACTACCACCACCGACGACGACAACAACAACGACAACGAGACAAGAAGAACAGCACGAACAGCACCCCCACGCAACAACAACAGCGCCCCCCACCGACTCAGAACAGCAGGTCGCCGATGTGGGGAAGGGCAGATGCTCCGGAGACGCCCACGGGGAGGTGGCAGGCACAGCACCAAGCGAAGCGGGGGGGGCACCGCCGCTGTGCTTGAAAAACGAGGCGGGGGTGCGCGGGGGTGCGGCGGCGGCGGCGGCGGCTCGTAGGCCCATGGCGCAGCAGAGCGCTTCCTCTGCACGGACCGCTTCCCCGGGGGGGTCTCGGGCTAGGATAGCAAGTTGTGGGGAGCGACCAGGTGTCTTGCTCTTGGAGCACGTTTTTTTCAAGGGGCTGCCGGGTTGGGGGGGTCCGGGGACGGGGGGGGCGTGGGAGGATGCCAAGCTCGAGGGCTCGGCGGTGGCGGTGCCGGCCCTGTGTGACGCCTTCGACGTGCGACATTTCGATTCAAGGTGCGTGTTTGTTATTTGTTGTTGTTGTTGTTGTTGTTGTTGTGTGTTCTTGTTTCAACATTATTGTTGATGTTTTGAGGTGTTTGTTATTTTTGTTTCAAAATTTTGTGCTGTTGTTGTTGCTTTTTTGACGCGTTTTTCTATTCCAAAAAAGCCGGATATTTTGGGTCGAGTAGTGCTAACGTAGCGGTTGTGCCACGGTTGTCGTGTGGTGGTGTTTGCCACTGGTGTTTGCCACTGGTGTTTGCTACTGTACTTGGCGCCATCAGTTCCGGCTGTCTACAGCAGCATGCACGAGAAACAACCCACTCGCACCCAGAGTGTTCACACACCTAGCGGCTTGCTCACCTCACCCCGGTGCCCTCCCTACGATCGGCCTCTATCGGCCGATGTGGATTCAGGTTCACTAGCCAAGACGTGGAGTTATCCTTGCAGGGACACCCTCACAAGGGCGGTCCGACCCCGGCATTCGAAGAGTTCGAGTGGCGAGAGGACAGCTGCATCGAGTACGCGCAAGTAGCCGAGCGAAGCACCCCGGGCTTGTTGGAGAGCTTGGCGTCGGCGCTGTGGTGTTGAACAGCGAAAATGCTGCAATACGCTCCGCCGCCGGTGTCGGCGTGTCTGGCGTTTTAGTTCTTCGTGGGAATTTAGGTTTGTCTCCTGTCTCGATCATGTGGCGTGGTCGGATGGTCTACTTTTGACTCAGAACAATAGAGGGTGGCGTTTAACCTGCATGGGGTAGGCCTCGGTGTACGAGCGCAGCCGCCCCCCCCCTCCTCAACAGCCCCGGATCGTGGCACGAGGGTTGAGATTCCCGCCCTGTTGACTGTGAACACCCAACTGTCGTAGTTTGGCGAGGGTGCCTCGGCGGTGTCATAGAGTGTGCGCTCTGCGTGCGATAAGACGACCACGTAAAGCTGCACCCAAGCCCCACTGCCGCCGGTAAGATGATGTAGCATTGTAGGTTGAACACGCATTCCTGCATGTCTAGAACGTGAGCGAGGACTCGTGTGACCAAATTTCGTGTGTACCCGTACGCGTCTTTAGCAACTACTAGTACTGCTGTAGAGTAGGCGTTTCCAGACCGAGACACACCGCGACTGCCGGTTCAGGTGTCGGGTCTGTTGAGTTTGTGGTCGGCCTCATTATCTGGGAGGTTGCCACTTCGTTCGTCAGGTGGAGCTTAGCTGCTTGTCTCGAGTAGGAGGACTCGAGCGGAGGGTTTTTGTACAGATCGGGGGACGGCAAGAGCTAGGGTGTGTGTATATGAAGATCACGCGATGGTCGTGCGCCTTGCTGCGGTTGCTTTTTGTGCCTGCTGCGTGTGCGGCAACATAGAGTTATGTTGGCGTTGCCGTTGGACACCGTGTATATATATTTATGTTGAACGAGGGATTGCGCTTCAGATGGCTGTGGTTGGACCGCACGTTTTCGGCATGGGAGGTGCCGTTGCTGGCCGAAACACGGGGGTGTATGCATACAGCCGGTGTGAGATATTGTTTTTTTGTTTTGTTTTTTTGCTTCTGTGGGAGTGAAGTTACCCGCAGTCGCTCCCTCAGGATACGCGCCCTGTGTTGTCCCTACCTACGCTCTATTTCTTTGTCAATATTTCATTTTCTTGTGTATCGGGTCTGTACAATAGTTCGTGGACGAATTGCGGCAATGCATCCATCCGACCACCCTCCTCGTGGGGAGCGTAGCCAATATTAATATTTTCCTGCGTACACGGTTTGATGTCATGGATATCGTTTTGTTTCATCGCACTGGAGGGGTGTGAATGAAGCAGAAGAACCCGTTGATCGAATGTGCAATCCACTCTGGTTGTATGCGGTTTGTTCTCTCCTTGCACGTGGTGCGCGTATGACATTGGAATACATTTAGCGATGAGCCATTGACCCCTTTGCGAGTATTTCCTGGCTTCATAAGCTTCAATCTCTCCGACGGAAATTGTTTTTTTTCGCAGTGCGTGCGTGCGTGCGTGTTCCCATGTTATTGCGATACCCCAACCATTACCCGACTGGTTCTCGAAAGACGATCTCGATCTATGGCGCACGTCTCGTGACATCTCGAGTACGCCTCGGTAGGGCATCGCAAATCATGGCCCCTCGCCAAGGTTCATCGGCTTCCGCACCCAGCAGCATACGCCACAAGAGGGCGGCCATGTGCGACCATGCGCGCTGTTTCTCTCTCTGCCGCTTCCTTCCCCGGTTCGCCGACTTCTCGGACATTCCGGAAACATGCGAATCTCAGGGTCCTGGAATCGTGAACCTGTGCTTACCTGCCCTACCTAACGTCCATCTCCCAGATATAGCTTGCCATCTCCGTACATCTCCGTACAGGTGAGACGTACCTAACTAGACTAACCCGATTATGACGGACAAAGCTTATCTGCTACACCAAACCTTGGAGACAGGTAGGACAATATCAAAAGAGGATCTGCGTCAGTTTATGAATATTCTAATCTTCGTAGCCTCAAAGCGATGTCGAGCAATGAAAAAGACGGCGACGCATGTAACCCCATGCACGAATACACAAAAATTATTGTACTGGGGGACATTGTGCTGGACGACAAGCAAAATGACGCTTGTCAGCCGCCCGAGTCTATCAAGGCTCTCTTTTCTCCATGTTCACAGTTTTGTCGAAGGGCCCCTAAAAGCCAGGTACAGACTACGATGCACCAACCAACTACGGTATTGCTCAAACACGACAGCAGGACAACTAACTCGGCACGGCACGCTAATGAATAAACGAAATGGACTACTGTAACATTGTTCGCTAAAGCCTACAATAGAAGGACGAACTAAAACGACCCCAAATATTTGACGCCCTTGTCATGTGCAATGCGATGATGGCATTTGTTGAGTATGGCACTTACGCGAGTCCATGACCAGCTATTATACTACTGTTACATCAAGGTGAAACGTTGTGCTTATGATATGAAAATGCAAAGGGTTCGTCGTATCGAACTTCCAACGTCACAAGCAAGCAGCAATCCCAGGACCTAGCCGGGTAAATAAAACATTCACAGAACATAACAGAAACAGCAGCAGCAATTAACAACAACAGCAAATAGAAACAATTAACAGTTTTCATTACACAAAAACCAAAGTGAAACACAAGCCTCCTTGCCGGTTGCAACACCCGACTCTGCTTTCACATGTCCGCCCGCTTGCCTCTCCACCTATTTAGCGGGGCAGAATGTAAAAAATGCACAGAATCGGAGTCAAGGTCGAAATCTCCTGCCGGGTACACACACAAGTAGCTGAACGTTTCCTTACACCCCCTTCTATTCGTGAGGCTCTTCCGTGGTGTTTGTTACCTGAGCGGATTCCCACGGTCGAGGCACCTTTATCTCATCCACAACAATCCCATCCACTCCATTGAGACAGTCGTACCTCCTTCCGCCAGACGCATACAACCAGACAAAGGTGTATCTCTCTGATCTTCGGATGAACATGGTGTCCGAGAGAAAAACAGAGTAAACCATCAGTGAGATGGAGCAGAATGAGCTTCACGGATACGGAGAGTATACACGCTACGAGATCAGAAGGGACGCTTCGTCGACACGCGAGCCTCGAGAGCCGCGATGAAGCCATCGACGCTCTCGTGCTCGCTCGCCTCCTGCTCCACCATGGCGGGAGTGAACCGCCCCCCGTCCCCGCCGCCGGCAACTCTGCCGCTGCCGCCGCCACAACGGGAACTCCCCCGCGTTTTCGCCGGTTCCGGGTAGTTCTTGAAGATCTCGCGGAGACGCCTGTCCTGCTCGGGCTCCAGCTTGTCCACCTGGAAGTAGTGGAGAGTCATTTCTAGCGCGGCCGGGTACCTAGCGTAGTTGTCGGTAGGCGGGGCGGGGTTGTTGGGGGGGATGAGCGATTGGCCAAAGAACGTTATTCAGAGAGACATCGAGGACTAACGTCCGGCACCGAAGGTCTCGTCCAACTTCACCGTATTTCCATCGGGTTGTCCACGGGAGGGAGACATAAAAACGAACAGACAATAAGGTCTCAGAGAGGGTGGATGCAATATTGCAACAACCAAGGGAAGCGCAGGTTTGATAGGAACGACGTCTGGCACTCGTGTCACAGGGAGGGAGGTCTTTTTCGCTCCGACACTTGGTGGGCAGGGTCTGTCGCGAAATTCTATAATATTAGAGATTAGTCTATCCCCCACCCAACAGGTAGAGATACCCGACCTTTAGTATGTAAGATAGCCCCAATCCTTGCGCTGATTGGCTCCAACATCGTAGTTCTCTCAACGACGCGGGGGGAAACATACTGGTCGCAGAAAACAAACGGGATAACGACAGAAGAGCTTACCCCCACCGACACCATCAAGCCCATCAACATTCATTTTGTATTTCGAAGCAGCAAGCAACCGATGCAACAGAGCCAGCAACGCAGACATTCATCGCCCCACATTGCCACAACACCGAAGCAGGCACCGCAACACGAGAACCAACACCGAAGCAAATCCAAAACAGACATAAGAGAGGTAGGTGCACGGTGTGACAACTACATACAGCGTTCTTCTTCTCACTTCATGTAGCCGAGGTAGATCTTCTTGTCGATGCGGCCGGGCCGGATGAGAGCGGCATCCAGAGTTTCCGGGTGGTTGGTGGTCATGATGACGATCCTTCCGGGGGTGTCGACCACGCCGTCGAGTACGTTCAGGAGGCCCTGTACACAAGAAAAATCCAAGCCGGAACGTGCAGCAGCAGCGTCTTTTTGTTGTCTTCACAAAAAAAACGTTCCGGTCTCTCTGCCCGGTACCTCCATCTGTCCATAGTTTTTTGGCCGGAAAAAGACTGCTACTCTCTTAGCGATGCTCCAGAAGACGTTTTGTGAGCAGGGAGGGCGTTGCCTGCCTGGTTTCTCGTGAAAAAAAAAAGCATTCCGGGAAGAAGGCGGCGTAGGTCGCTCACCGCGAGGTCGAGCTTGTCGGACTTGCTGGCAAACTTGCTCTTCGCCTTGCTCTTCTTCGGCTTGGTCTTCTTCTTCGAGTCATCCCCGAGGCTCCTGGCCAGGGCCAGCATCATCGCCTCGTCCTCGTCGTCACTGTCACCGCCCGTTTGTCGAAGAGGCCCGCACACGCCCCTGTCGTCGCTAGAATCGCCCGAAGACGACGAGCCGCTGCAAGAAGAGCTGTCGCTGTCGCAAGCCGCTTCCCTGTCTCCATCGTCTTCCTTTCGCGCACCGCCACTCTTGTTGCTGCCAGGGCAGGCGCCCGCTGCTTTCGAAGCTGTTCACGTGGGACAAAAACACGACCGAAACAACAATCAAACTCAACCGCAGCAGCAACAGTCCCACCCGTGTTGACAACGGTTGTCCTACAGAACCACCTTCTTGCCACGAGCTTTTCCGTAAACACATTGCTTGGGTATCGACGCTCTTTTCGAGAACTGGGCTCAGAGGAATTTCTCTGACCGGCTCTTCCTTCCGCGTGGTGCCTGGTACGACCAAGACACGCTCTTGTTGTCGATATCGTCACCAAGGCCCCTGCCGGCGAGACTGTTCACATCACCTCCGCAACGTGCTGCTACAGAACGCGGTCACCACGCAATATCCTCTTATTTGGGCCGAGGCTCGTTCCTTACTTTGTGTATGAGGCCCTGTACCCCCAACGCGACAATTAAGGTTCTAGTGTAGGCTTCTTGACTGAGCACCTGTTCTTACGACCAAGTTACTTAAGGGACCCAAAAACTCCTACACTGCTCTGTTCACAAGCGGTGGCGCGTTCTGTTTAGCATTTGAAGCATGCACCGGTATACTCGTTCTGCACCTGCTTGCCTGCAATGACAATGTGGTTTAGCTGGATTCCATCGATTGGTTCACTTACGGTGGTCGCCAACGATGTCCTCGTTGCTTGAGCTGCTGTGCAAGCTCTCCATCGTCGTGGTGGTGCACCGCTCGAACAGCGTGACCTTGCGGGTCGAAGTGGCCATGCTGTTCTTCTCGCGTTCAGTTGGCTGAGAGACGGACCTCTGGAGCATCACAGGCCGCGACAACGCCAGCGTGTTGGCGGCAGGTGTGGCAGTCGCGTCAGCAGCAACAGCTGCAGGGTTCTTTTCATCCCCTGGTGTCTCCGACGTTGAGCTCTTGGGCTCGGCTGTCGTTGGGCCTTCAGCAGCAGCAGCAGCAGCAGCAGCAGCTGCAGCAGCAGCAGGAGCCTTGACGGGCTTCTTCGTGGTGACCGGGTGCGGTGTAGTCACCTGCTGCGTAACCTGCCTCGACAAACAAGGAAAACAAGGAAAAACGATCGGGTACAGTACCCAATACTACGACATGTCTGCTGTTGGACCGCGGAATTCCACCTGTCGAACAGAGTGTACCAAGGTCAACAGCCATTGTTCGTGGTTGGATGGATCTTGTCCATATTTGACTCTCCCTGCAATGACCCACAGGAATCTTCCAGAACCAACCCCCCGGGTCTCGTTGTTCTTTCTGCGAAAAGTAGCGACTTCCGTATGTCCTAGCGGGATCTCTTTCTGCGGCACACTCGACTCATGGAAACAGCAAAAGCACGTGGCATACGCTTCCCCGCATAGTTGAAGGAAACGAGACGAGAGTGGGAACTCGCCTTGACCGTGGTCTTGGTTCCCCGCTTCTTCCGCTTGGAACGCTCCCTGGACTTCACGATGGGAGAAGCGGCATCTACGTCTTCCATGACGAAAATCACGTTCTCGAAACCCAAGGTGACCGGGAGCTCTTCGCCCACGACGGCAAACCTTTGGTCGAACACGATGTCCATCAGCTCCTGCAATACGCGAAACAGCGAATGAGCCCCCGATGAATCGATCATGCGGAGTGAAAAAACAGACGCAGGGAAAACACTCAGGGGAGGGGGTGGGGGACGTAGTCATGTGTGTGCACGGTCGCAGGATTCACGCGCTATGGAGCCGCGTTTACCTACAACACAGAGGCGGCGTAGTAGAGCGAAGGGGGCGTGGGTGGGATGTGAAGGCCAACCGCGAGTCCGACCAAAACCAAGGTGCCAACTTGACGGAAGCAGAAAATGTACAAGAGAGAGGGACAGGTACATGTAGACAGATAGACAGACAGACAGACAGACAGACAGACAGAGGCGACGCATGCAACACCTATACGACGGGTCTGTCGTATCATATGGCTCGTGTAGGTAACCTGGGTGGAGGAGAGTGCGATTCATCGGGTCATCACCTGGTTGGTTTTGATCCGGCCGAGCGGCACGTTGACGACGTTGCGTCCGGTGTGGCAAGCCAACGCCTTGATCATCGACGTCTTCCCGGTCCCGGGGGGGCCGTGCAAAAGCAACCCCAGCTTGTGAGGGTAGCCCTTGATGGCGTACTTGCCTGCGCTCGGTGGGCGAATTCGGCGCGATGTTCAGGTGTAGGGTTCGGATTTCGGGGCTTCGTCAGAGGAACTGGGGCCGCGGGTGAGCGCTAGACATGGGACGGGGTTCTACAATACGACGTGTTCACCATAAACAACCTCTTGTGCAATCGTCGTGCAGCCACGGTGGGTCTTGGGGTGGCCCCACTATTGTGCGTAATGGACACAGTAACGTTTTCGGCTATCTGTCAGTGATCGTTTCGTTTCCTCTCTCGGGCCTCGCGCTCATGGTAAGGTTGTATTTGTGGTCGCCGCGACTCCCATGTACTCGAGAGATGTCACGCACCAAAATTGCATTTCAACCCAACCCCCTTGAACTCGACGTACGCGTTCAACGGGGCTGGCGGTACCACCAAGGGCCCAGGAAGTTCGAGTCGAATGGCTAATAGGCCGGGGGTCAACCTGTATCACCAGCGCCTGCAATCGCACAGGAATAGCGCTCGCTGGCTCTACTGTTCACGTTGTCGGCATTGGAGCTGGGGGCGGAGAAAGTGTTGATTCTCCTTAAACCTTGGACATCTCGTTTCGTTTCCACTCACCACTCTTATCCTCGAAGTGCTGAAGGATCCTCAACAGCGCGTCCTTCTCCGGGAAGAAAAGGCTGTCAAAGTCCTTGCCGTCGCTCAGGCGGTAGCGCTTGTACCTTAAACGTCGGGGTCGGGGTTGACGTACATAGGGGTTAGGGCACCGCTAAGCCGAGGACAGGGTGAGAAGCTTTGGGGTACCACAGAGACGGAGGGAATCAAGACACACAATGCATCATATGGCCGCTGTGGCATCCTTTTCGTCGTGCAGTAATCGAGCTTAACGGGGGGGGGGTGATATCTTACGCAACCTACGGTACTCACTTCCGAACCCAAACGATGCAAGGCCAGATGTTCCAGTGTTTCACTCTCTCAAGCGCACTTCCTCTACCGGCGGGTATGTAGCACGCAGAACAGCAAGGTACATTCTCGAGAACAATACAACAAGATATGGCTGCGCTACTCACTTTCTGACGGGTCCTTCCCCTTTGTCCTTCCCAGCCGATGACGCAAACTCCTCGTTCGCGATAAGCGTGTAACTGCCACGCCGGACGGTGCACGCACGATGTCACGAGCGACGCGGTTTCGATATCTTCACCGCGGTCGAACCGAAAGAAATGGCAACGTGAGACCAACGTACATACCGTCTCGAAACAGCTCGGGCCGACAAGATGGACAACTTGAAAAAAGAAGCGAATCTTTCTCGAAGCTGCTGTTTTTACTGATGTTTCTGCTGCAGTGCCGCGCATGAAACTCCAAGCAGTTCTTACACAGAAACCAAGCAGGAAGACAGAAAGGTACGACGAGAGCAACAGATTTAGGTGTGCCAACAACAGTCAGAGAGGAAAATGTATCCAGCTTCTGGAGAATTTCCGTTGCCTGAGGGATCAACCACTCTCAATACACAGGGGGGCACATTTCAGCTCGCTCGTACTCGCCAAGATTTAGATGAAATTTAGGCTCTCAATAAGTTGTCGGGATGTCTGGCATGTTGCACTCTGCATGACCAATTACTCTCCACCACACGGCTGCATGACCAATTACTCTCCACCACGCGGCTGCATGACCAATTACTCTCCACCACACGGCAGTGTGCATACATCTATCTCGATGTGTTCTACTGTTATCATGTCTTTTGCATACAAGGCGCGCCTCCGGAGTGGGCTGCTCATCAGAGCCTAGAAGCGGCGGTGTCATCAAGGCGTGATGCAAGATGAAAATAAAGCATGCGTTTGTGTGAATCAGCTGCCAGCGGCTGCCATCAGTGATGTTTCCCAAGGTCGAACACGTGACGTGTCATTGACACCCTAAGCCCAGCGAACCTCAACGATCTAAACACAAACACTAAAAAAAACGCAAAGTCAGCGGTCCTCAATACGGTACCCTCAATAGCGGAATGCCCTCTGTAGCGGCACCGAAATCGCTTTGCACAAATGCATTTCTCAGAACAATCCCTACTAAGAATAGCGGCACTGCCCTCTATAGCGGCACCAAAACCTCCCATTATTGAGGACCATTACTGTATTCAGCAGTGTTATGGTGATGTGTCTTACAGGTATCGGCCTTGGTCTTCCGTGGACTTCATCTCCTCGCAGTACCACCGGAATGCCTTTTGAACGAACTCGTCGATGCGTTCGTCGCCGTCCCTCTCGGAACACCTGAAGTGGTACGTCGTCTGTTGGCGTCGTGGTCGGTTGGCGGCAAACGCGAAAAAGGGCGTAGGTGCAGCAACATCGAACATGGAGAGAGACAGACAGACAGACAGAGCAGAGAGAGAGGGGGAGGGGGAGGGGGGAGGAGAGAGGAGAGAGGAACAAACAGACAGACAGACAGACAGACAGACAGTCAGACAAAGCAGTCGCCTTTGGCATCATTGCTCGCACAGGTAACAAGACAGGTTGGTCTGCTATTCTGTCCGCACAGAAATCGCTATGCCTAGTGTAGGAGAAAAGTAACCCACCCCGCCCACCGCCGCTGGAACGATTCTGAAACTGAATAATCTGTGGTGGAGATAAATTTGTTGTGTCATACAAGTACAACAAGGGAAACCGTACGACAATGGACAGCGCCGACAGAACAAAAATAGGCACAGGCAATCGCTACGGCCGGCACTTCGGACTCGCTGATAGTTTACTCCTGGCGGGTGACGACCTATTCTTCTTGTGTTACTATCTGTCTACACGGTGCGGCTTCGAGGAAAATCTTCACCATCTTGATGCGCACCCTGTTGCAGCTTCTTGAGAATACACCCCGCCGTCGAACCCTGTTGAGAACATAAAAACTCTTTTCCCAGCTGCGCCTTTTTTGAACGGTTTGCGTGTTTTGAACCAGATTGTGACGCCTATTTGGCGCCTGTTCTATATAACGTGCACGCACGGGCTACTCAGTAGGTCCTGTACCCGCCTTCTTCTTCACGTCCTTGGTGCTCGAGTTCTTCTTGTCCGAGCCACCCTCCTCCTGCACCCCCGTCACCTGCGCGCCAGAGTGCAGTCAGCAGTCAGCAGTCAGCAGTCAACAGTCAACGGTGGCGGTAACGATTTCGCCCCGGTACCCGCCAAGCGGTGCATTCGGCCAATGTGCGGATAATAAGGACTTCTGCACCGCGGTTTCAATCACTACAAGACGGAAGTCCTCCTGGATAAGCCTAGGGTGTGCATGACTGATGGAACGCTTTTTGATACCGGCGAGGGGAAGAGGTCGTCCGATACCCCGATACGTCCCCGATCGTAGCATGCAGTGCTGTGGTGTTGTAATGATGCGTCTTAAACGAGAAGAAGAAGATACGTCTTCTACGACTTTCATCCTATTCCTGCCGTCCGAACACGCTCTTTCGTGTAGGCCTGGCCTTGCAAAAGCAAGCGGGTACACACGCGATGAAGACAGAGCAGCCAGTGAACAGCAAACCTCGAAGACAAGAACAACATGAGCTCCGGCCTCCTCACCGCTACAAAGTCAGGGGAAAAAACGTGTGCGGACCTGGCAAACAGCGTGTGCTGGAACTACGGAACCGCTAGACGTCAGCACAAGCTGATGCCGTGGAGTATCGTGGAGACTCGGCAATTCATCACCCTCAACACGTTCATCACCCTCGACACGCTGCATCACATCGAGTGATGGGGTGAGTATCGCTACAATATCGAGAGTGTGGCGAAAACTATCGATTAGGGTCCCATGCCATTGTCGAAACACCGTAATCGTTTAGGGTCTCATGCCATTGTCGAATCACCGCCGGACCTGTTGGAAATAGACCGCGTCTTCCACCTCCACCCAGTTGTTTTGAGGAGGTGTGACTCCTACCCTGTACGCCTTGAGCTGCTCCGCCGTTCCTCCGTACACCTTGCGTGTTTGCAGAACAACAGCATTTGCAACGGTGCCGTGGGCACAACTTAGAAAGACAGGACACGGCCGATGAAAAAGAGCAACAAATTACGTGGAATCACAGCCGTAGCGGCGAAGCTCAACCAACAACCGCTCAGCTCCTTTGTGTTACCTGCTACCCGGCAAGGAAACAGCGCACTCTGCTTTGTATCGGTTCGTACCACTGCTGCCAAGCTGACCGCGAGTACGTAATCAAGTAAAATGGCTCCCACGGCGTTCATTTTCAAGAGGGAAGGGGACTGGTCCAATGGAGATTGGGATCTCGCCGATGCAAAAATTGGAGTTGTTTCCGCCTGCCGTATCCTACCCGAGGGCACCACGTGCGTCTAACCTACCCCGGATTTTTTTTTGCCTTCTTCGCCTGGGAGCTCAGCACGGGGGCGAGGAACAACTCCGTGCCCTTCGCACACTCTATATAATAGCTCCCATCTTTCCCTCGTAGTGTGGTATCTTTATACAAGTAATCTCACCATGTCGTACGAGTCCTCGTCTCGCTTTCCCTTCTCCTTCACCGAGCCCAGCACCACCATTGCGTGGCCGTACTTGAGACCCAGCTGGCCAATGTAGAGCGAGACAGCCTTCTGGAGAATGTTGTTCCGATGCCCCTCTACGCCCTCATCCTCATATCCCCAAATGTTCGACACCTTCGTGTGCGCGGTACATGAGAAGGCGTGTACGTGTGCGCACAAAACTTAGTGCTGAACGAGCGTGTCGGGGATCCTACCAACACAACCAACGTCGGTTGCCTGCTGCATCTCCTTCCCCACAATACTATCACGTTCCTTAGAAGGCACTTCGATAAGGGTGTCACCAACCGAGACGGAAAGCACTGAGACGCTTCTTTTACCTCTCGAACCTCTCAAGGTACCTCGCATACACGTTGCTGCACCAGATAGGTCAGCGGAGTCAACGGGACATGACGAACCGGTGCACACTACTCATACCGCACTCTTCCAGCGTCGGCCTGTGCTGCCGCAAAGAGTATTGGCAAGGCACGCGGGTACTGCAACAATCGGGCCGGATCTAAACCGGTATCTGCGGCGACAATGGTGGTCCGTTTCTGTGGCTTTGCCTCTCACTTTTTCGTATTCGATGGTGCGAGAGAAGTGCTCGTCTCTCGCTCGGAGGCTGAACAAAAACTCCTCGATGAGCGGTCTCAGCCATTCCCAGAACTTGTAAAGGCCCTGCAGGACGAGTGGGATGGACATGGCGATCATCATGTCCAGCACGACGTTGCCCGTACGCATCGCGTTGATTACCCCAACCTGTGGCAAGCAAACACAGAATCCGGACAAAACAGGCGGATGAAAATGACATCACATGATGAAATGGGGGGACTGTCGCCATAATAAATAGGACGAAAACACAAAACACACAAAAACAACCCCCCCACAGCAACGCCACAAAAAAAGTTGCCCAACGCGCGGAGGAGGAGGAGAGCAGGAGACGGAATGTCTTGGCGACCTCGCCAAAAACAAAGGCGTCACAGCTGCTTGGCGGCCGCTGTACCCTCACTTCGGGCGCTAACCTAGACTACACCTTTTTCGGCATATGTTCGACACACAGGGGGAATGTAAGCATGTAAGCACATTTTCCACGTTCGTTTCCTCGTACGATTCTCTGTGTGTACGGAAGGCGCCACTAAAATAGCATAAAACCTATGTAGTAAGAGCGAAGCTTCGATCTTCACGGGAATGCAACAATTTGAAACGTATCTACTTTCTCACACTTTATAGTACGTAAGTATCTGTACATCTCCCTTTGGTTTCACCACTGATCACATACAGGATTAGGACTTTACGGGCGTTCCTCAAGGTGCTGGAAAGGGCAGTAAAACGGTTTCCCTTGTAAAAATCCAACTGTCAATATGGAGGCCAAAGATCGAGACTGGTCCACCTTCAGGCAGTGTTGAAGCTAAATCGGTAGAGGGCGTGATAGAGCAGCGACATGTGCGCGTTGGCACGCCCCGATATGATACTGGGATACTGGGCCGTTCGGTCGAAGGCTGCAGCTGCGGTTCGAAAAGTACATGTATGGGTCTGTGTTGATGTACCGTATACTGCTGTAGTAGTGGACGATCCACTCTGTCTGCTGTCTTGTCTCGAATTTAGATTCATGAGCAACTGCTTTTTTTTGTCTTGATGTTAGAGAAGGTGTCGTGCAGCTTGCTATGTAGACTGCATGGCATGCCGGTTAGAGACAAGTCCCAAAGCGCTGCTCTGTGTGACAACTGCCCGTTGTGTGTATTCGCGTACTCGCGGCTGCACCACATGTCACGGCTGCATGATCGGGCGAAATGAACACATGATGTCATCTACATATTGTTCTGCTGTCAACAAATTTGCAAATTGGCAGGAAGAGTCCAGACCAATGCCCAACGCGAATCCTGCAAATACCACACCTAACACCGGAACTAACGGCATGGCTGGACCAACTCATGTGGTCAGGTTCGATATAACCGTCCGCTCTGATACATGCCTGTCTGCATAGGTACAATACTGCCCGACAGCCAGACGTGAGGCATGGACGAGTGTGCCGATGCCCGTTTACATGCCTGTCCATTCGTCCGCTTTTTTGTTGTCGTGAGACGGTCGCCCCAGAGAGCACGTTCCGCTGCTTGTCAAAACAATAAATAAACAGAAGGACCACCCTCCATGGAGCATGCTGGCCCTGACTTTATTCTTTGGGTGTGCCCGATTCCTTGCACCTGCCTAGGTAGATGATAGACGCACACTCTGCTGGTGCCTTAGACGGCTGTTGGTGAGAAGCAGCGTACACAGCATCGGTCCGCGAACAGACAAAAACATACGAAAAGGAAATTCCTGCCCCACCTGAGAAGCCACATGGTCCATGGCTACCCCTCGTTATTTTCTCGAGTGGCTTGGAGACGACTGATGGTGTGTTGTGGGGCGAAGATCGATGCGCCCAAAGGTTGTGTGCCTTGTGCTCGAGAGGCGTCGTGCCCTGGTGGTCTCCCCAACGAATTTGCGCGAGGCCGCGAAGATTGTTCTGGGGACCGATCCCTGAAAAATAATAAATACACACACAGAAAGGCCAGAGACTACAATACCCATTGATTCGAGATATACCCAAGGGGGTGTACCTCTTTCTCTCCGGCCCGCGATAGTGACTCCTAGTCTCAGTTGATACCTCGCATAGCACGCAGAGGGGGTGGAGGACTCCAGAATATCTGTCGTTGATTTCTATGGACTTGCGGACCCCTCGGGGCCAGTTTATTTGAGTGTACATTTTTAGGGCAAGTTAACCTGTGTGACCACGGGAATCGACCGCGTCGAGTGTTGGATCAGTACGGACATACGAAGGTACTGGGTAGAGAGAGATCGGAACGGTTTTAAATGCCTTCACAGGGGACACGGCGCAGTGTCTTTTGACAGCTTGCTGGTTTGTTACATAGAACACGCAGCCGAACAGGCATGAAACTCGCAGCATCTCATCTCACATCGCGCCGCCCCACCGTTCCATCGTTTCCACGTTTGTTTACGTATGGCCCACGAGGTATTTCCCTGCATGCATCTATTTACATACCAAGCGTTTATCTGTCAAGTTCCATTCACCACTGTAGTGGCCACACCCACTCTTAGGGCGGTGTCCTAATAATATGGAAGACTATAAGATGGAATGACCTTATGTTATGTGATCGAAAAATGACCTTGTGTCTACAACAACAATTAATTACAGACTATAGACTCGATATAAGTCCAGTACCCAGCCGGTTTCCCCCTCACTCGCTGAAAAGACTCCACCACATCCCGTTCGAACGTGGGTATATCTCGAATGGGTAGTCTTTCTGTGTGTGTATTTTTTATTTTTCCTAATAAAATCAACAGCAAGCGACAGCCCAAATAATAACCGTGTGTGTGTGTGTTGTGTTTTTCTTCGGGTGTATCACTATTTAGCACACCCGACGAACCAACTACCCAACACCTTCCTTCTACACCTTCTTCCCAGGATAACATACAGAGAGATGCATGAGATGGTTACCAAACTATCTTGTTGACCCACAGGGGAGATATCATCGCTGTGTGCTGCCCGGAAAATCGTGGAAAAGCAGAACTCTAACTTTCGCTGAAGCTATGGATGAGTTGATCTTAAGACTCTTTTCTGCAGATAGAGACGGATTCGTTGGGTCATACCGACAAAAAAAAAATCAGGAGGGATGACGCAGGGCTGTCCTTCGACAAGGCCCAAAATGAGGAATTGAGGCTCGACTCGATATTGACGTTTCTTATCTCCGGGCCCATGCTGCTGTAGATGATCACAGCAGTAGCTACATCAAGGGACAGATTTTACTGCGCACAGCGCAAGTCAGCGAAAACCGTGAAAGAAGCGACTTTCAATATTTAGCTGTCATGTGCACATCCCCAACCGAAACGTAATCGGCAGAGCATGGCACTCGGGGGGGGGTTGCACGAAATATGTACGTAACATCATCATTCTTGTATGCGTTCCTTTGAAAATGGTCACACATTTTCTATCGTTCTATGGATACAAGGAGAACAAATCGTTGTTTCAGAGAAAAAAAAAACAAGGGCAGAGGTTTTGATTTTTTACCGGTGGGTCATACCGACGATTAAAGAAGTAAAAACACGAAACATAAACAAAAAACGCAATCAATCAACTACAACGACCAACCAAGTCACCGATACAAATGGATCCAGATCGATGCATTGATTCGACTTCCAAGGTGGTGGGTTAACTCTAAATGATAGTATAGGTCAGACATTGAGCGTTTCAATGCAGTCGCCAGCATCTCACCACGGCCAGACACGTCCACAGGCGCAACAACAACAACAAAAAATAACTCTGCAACATCAACGTCGGCGGGAGGTACACCACGAACCCAGGTCACCCACTGAGGCAGGATTCACATGAATAACAATAAAAACATATAGCAAGGGTTGGTTGAACCCATCCCATTGCAACCATGCGCAGCAGTGAGATAGAGAGAAGCACATTGCACATCCTTCCTTAAACCCACGTTTGCCTACATGTCTCTACTTCTTACAAAATGTTGTTTGCGCCTGGCAGCAGGACAAAAAGTCTCCTCCGGTTAGAGCTTTCCCCAAAATGCCAAAAATAAAGTCACACCTGAACTCGTTTTCGACCCCAACGCCCCCCACAGCTACCACGCAACGCAAGGCCCCCTATTTCTAGCCTCCCCACCGCTTCCGCACCCACTCTGGAGGGAATGCACGCCTGCCACAACCAAAGCGTACCTAAAAACATTCTACAAGAAAAAATCACACACCATTGCCATCGGCAACACATGTCAGCATCCCCGCCCCCTCCGCCGTAAGATGTCAAATGCTGTTGTGCTGTTGGCGCATCATTATTCCGCCATTGACGGCCAGAACTCGAAAGTGCAATGCTTGCGAGGATTGGAGTCACGTCTATCGACCAAGACGCTGGAAAAGAGCCGCCGCATATGGCTACTCAAGGCACCTGTGTGTCTCTGCGAAAACACGTCCTCTTGCTTGAACGAGATACCCTTCCGTGCGTACGCCACGCCGGCGAGTGGAAAACATGGCTGCGTCCATGCGTCGCCCACGTATCACCCTTGTAGGGGAGAGCTCACGGCCCACCTCATTGCCAGTCGTTGGACGCGTGCAAGAACATCCCAATGACATACCTCCGGGTTTGCTGTCCATCTCTTCCCAGAAAGCGACACCGCCCAAACCGAAATCATGCACGCTGCAGCAAACAAACGCATGCCGTCCGGCCTCAACTTGTCGCCCCGGTTTCGGCTTTTGCTGAACTTGCAAGACCTCCCTCTTTCTCGACCTAGGACCGGTCGCTCAACCCGAGCCGACTTCTACCCCTCTCTCTGGCATCTTCTACTGGCTGCTTCAAAACCTAAACCCCCAATCAATCACCCGGTTGTTGGACTTTCGCCCCCCACGAGTACTCTGCGGTTACTCCCGCCCCCGTGCTTCGGCACCAACGACGACAGCTTCGTTCTGGCCTTCTCGAAAACGGCGTAGCTGATGGCGATGGCGGGCAGAGCCTTCAAGAAGTTGGGTCCCAAGCCTCGGTAGAGCCCCTGCACTCCCTGCATTGGTGGTCAAAGGGTGACGGTTAGGGGTGCCGTAGAGGGGGGGGGGGGGGGTACCTCGAGGGGCGGTGAGTAGAGCGTGTCCACGAGAGAGGAGGGGTCCCAAGCATAACGAAGTAGAGAGGTACGCTCTGGCTGAGCGGTCGAGTGATAAAAAAAAAGAGGTTGTCGTGACATAGTTTTTTGTGACGAACAAGGTCATTCTCTGCGCCACGATCTATACTCCTGTTGTATGGGCGGCGGGCGGGCGGCAGGCGGCGGGGGCGGGGGCCACGTTATCCTTCACTATTCATACGGTCCAGCCGAAGATGGCAAACTCAAACCATGCAAGAAAACTATGAACTGCTCAGGACAATTATATGCGAGCGTGTTCTGCTACTACTTCACAGGCCACGCGTACAGGAGTACCAGCTTTCCGGGGTATCAAGGAACAGCTGTAGCAGACAACCACCCGACAAGTCGAGTCCAACTGCACAGATCAAGTCGGCATGAAGAAAAACATCGCTCCGGGTAAGAAAACAAGGGCAGCCATGATATTACACCGCAAGAAGGAAGACGCGGGCAACGAAGGCGACAAGTTTGCGGTAACCGACATCGAAAGGGCGAAGCAAAGGCGAAGCACGTCAAGATGCCCCAACGGCCAAGCAGTGCATCGTCTGTATGAGCAATTCTTGGGTAACAGGAGTGAACGGAGATGATACAAGGGGGTGTGTCCCGAGATTTTTCCGGCACTATACCGGGCATCGGCACTACTCCAAGTACAGAACGACTTGGTATTGCAGTGTGTGGAACCGAAAACACCGGTACTATTCAACCGGCACTATAGAGGCCCCCCCACTGTAGCTGTACAAAGGGCGTCGCACCGCGCCGCACCGCACCTCTGCTGTTTTACCCTAGCGGAATACATTGGTGGCACACGGTATCGGATTACCGCGTACCGCATTACCGCATACCGATACCGCACCACAAGGCTCCGGTCACCACGCCATACGGGATTGCACCGCCCTCGCGGGTGCATCCACTTACTCCGCAACGTCAACGTACCTCGTGCTTCAATGTTCTTCGGAAGCAGTCCGCAGTGCTTGTGTAGGTGTGCGGGATCCCCGGCATCCCCTGCGCGAACACCACGGCATGTATAACGTGGGCACACGGGTCAGGGTCATGTGACGACAGCATCAACGCAAACACGGGACTGGTACAGTAAGACCAAGATAACAACATGCCCGCGACGACGTGGGGGCTAAACAAACACAACACACATAAAAATAAGATGAAACGGGAATAACCCCAACATGTCGGGATCGATAACAGTGTGCGCGGTATCGCGTGTGGGGACTCATTCAACTGCTTCAGTTCCGCAAACCATTCCCCCCTATAATGCATGCCACGTAAATGCGAGCCTAGTAACAACGCTGTACAGTAGCTATTTTACGGAAAGCAAGGATTCGTGTCCGAGGATGGACGCCGGCAAAAACTGCAAACTGCAAACTGCAAAAAAAAAATGTAAGAGAGGAGGAAGAAGCGAGACGAAATTGCGCCAGGCTCTGCGTCACTGCCATATGCTCAAACGGTGCAAGGCACAAGAATCTCATCTCTGAAGAACGACAGGAGCGCCAAAAAACAGCAAGGATTATGAGGGCTTCGAACCGAATCAACCGTATTGATTAGTTCGTTGTCCAGCACATAGGCATGGTCGTGGCAGCGCGCAAGAAAACGAAACTGTCCACCCTCGCACGACGGCATGGAGGCACAAGCGTGTACAGGCTCAACGACAACGACCACCACAACAACAACAACTTTAACAACAATAGCAACAACAACGACAGATAACGACAACAGCAACAACAGCACCAACAACAATAGCCACCACCACCACCACAACAACAAGCAATGCTAGCAGCAGTGACCCTGCACCACGAAACACACACGAGCCACAAAGACGAACTGTCACGCTACCGCCCTGCTGGCCATCGCACCTGTGCCTGCAGCTTTGTCCTTACAAGCTGCAAGGGGTAGGCCACGAGCTGGCCGCACGTCGACGACAACGCACCGAAACCCAACAACGTCATCACGTCAGGACCCTCCTGCGAAAGCAGAAAAAAAGAAACACGAGCAAAAAAATAACGGTGTGGATGATGGATGGGGTTAGGGTTGGGTTAGGTGGGGATCATCATAATTCTTGGCTGCTCGGCTGTTGTGGACACACACAGAGAGAGAGAGAGAGAGAGAGAGAGAGAGAGAGAGAGAGAGAGAGAGAGAGAGAGAGAGAGAGAGAGAGAGATAGAGAGAGAGAGGGCGAGAGAGGAACACACGCGACGAAGAGGGCGCTTGTGAGCCGTGACTACAGCGATAGGCGATACCAGCAGCACCGGCGTTCCCCTGATAGTTCGGGACGAATACACAACTCACAGCCACCAGTGATGAAGTTCTTACGCATACTGCATGCGCAAAGAAATGTAGGACTCGCCATACAGGACAAAGCAATCCACAGTACCCCCTTACACCAACACTGTCAGCGTGTCTCGCTCTACTACATACCTCCTCCCTGCATGCGCGAAATCGTCATCGTCCTGAAGGCAAGCACGCATCTCAAGAAAGAAGCCAGCCAGCACCTCACCTTAGCGCCCGGGTTGGCCGCCATCCATCTGGCCTTGAGCGTGTAGAACATCGCCAGATCGGTCCCGGAGTAGGGGACGATGCCCATGAGGCTCGCCGGCAGTCCGCGGAAAAGCCCTCTCATGCCGTTCTCTCTACAAGACCCAGGGGGTAAGGGAAAAGGGGGAGGTTGAAATTTGGTCAGTCAGTCGTTGGCGATTGATCACGCATCCATCGATACCACGAGGGGTACTACGAGATCCAACTATCTCTGCCAAACCGTGGGGGTTGAAAGAGTAAACGCACTGAAACCCGATCGGGAAGGGGGACGGGGACGGGGGGGGGGAGAGATGCAACCGCGAGAGCTTGATGAAACGTGTCGCAAATGGTCCGCGTGGTACATCGGAAAATAACGGAAGGGGGTAGGATTTTCCAAATCGACGTCAAGACCCAGCGGAGAATCTTTTATTTTAACGCGCTTTTCTTTCTGAATGGAAACCCGACCTGCAAGGGACGCAGGAAACGAACCCGAGCAGGAGGAAACAGAGAACAAAGAGCGCCAGGCAGGGTGCTCGGAACCCGACCCACTACACCCAGTGATGGTGATACCTTGGTAGATTGAAGGCGTCTTCGTCTCGTGTCTGTTCCCACGTAACGTCTATCCAGTCTTGGCAACTTTGCCACGCAACACTGGGGGTAAAAAAAGCAAGACTTCTCGAAACAGCAGTATTGCTACAATACCTGTTACAACAAGCCGTGAGGGTCTTAGGGATGACTCACCTTACGATGCGCGTGAGGCAGTCGCCTATCCCCTTGAACTCGCCCTTCTCTCCCACAGCTAACCTTGTCTTGGCTATTTCTAAAGGGTAGATCACAAGCTGCGCCAGCGACCCGGCCATCGACCCAGCCAAGAACCTACAATAACGACGGCCACACACGCGGGATCGATTAGGGGGGGGGGGTCCAACACATTGCATGCGAGATGGGGGACTCCGTGGTGTTTATCGCCCGACAACTTATTAGTCATCCCTCCCCACGCGCGTGAAGCTGAACTTACACTTCTCGACCCCCCCCGCACACCCGCCTCCATACACAACAAACACTACTATTTAGGGGGGGGGGGGGGAGGGTTCCCTGTCCTTTCTTATTTCTTTACGGGTGGTGACCATCGACCAGGGATCCATCGGAACAACCCATGGGTTTGCTCCTGAATGGCAAAAACATGCGTTTCAAATTTGAACGCTGTTTCGCGAACTTGCTACCAGGCTACCGATGACCATACGGCCTCCTCATCGGATCCCCTTGTTGTGAGAGATTTGTAAACAAACTACTGCTGCCGTAGCGTACCCCGCCACAACTCACCTTTCTCCGACTCTGACGTTATCAGGGTCCTGGAAGATAGCAAGCAGAAGAAGGGGGCGTGTGTGGGCGTGAAAAGAAGGGGTCAATCCTTTCCGTGTACGCAAAGTGATTTTTAGTACAGGGACACATGAAAATGCAACAGAGGGATACACATGCGGCCACGCCCAAGGCAAGAAGAGCATACATGACACACGCACACCGGACAAAGGCGCCAGCAGGAGCAAGAGTAGTAAGCCGGGAGAATACGCAGCAGCAGCAGCAGCAGCAGCAGCAGCAGCAGCAGCAGCAGAGTATCTCGAGTAGTGTTGCACATCGAATCAAAATTTTCGGCGAAATCGAAAAGTCACAATCGAAAGGAAAATCGTACCGAAGCTGCTTCGACATTCCATACAACATCGAACTGAAAAATCGTACATCGAAAACTGCGTCGGCATTCCGATGAAATCGAAAGTCCTACCAGATTGAAAATCGTAACGAATATCGCTTCGATATTCCCATGAAACCGAGAGCCATGTCGAATTGAAATCGTCGAGAGCTTCGAGATTTCGATCAAGTCGTCTATAAGGTCGATGCTTGAAACGGCACAGCTCCATCTCAAAACAAAAAAAAGCCTGCTCACCTTGCAGATGCTGTTCTTGAAGATCTCATACCCCAGGAACCGGATCGCGCTCTCGGGCATGATCTTGAGAGTGTTGGCCCCGTTGCCGTTCCAGAACGCCAGCCACCCCTCCTGACGGTAGATGTTGCTCATGCTCTTGGCAATTGTGCCCTTTGTCTTCCCCGACTGCAGAAGGGTCTTGAGCCTGTCGAACGGCGCCGTGGCTGTCCGGCTCACGACCCCAGCGATCGCCCCCGCCACGAACGTCACCACCGCCTGCCAGCACAGCAGTTGCGGCCGCCCGCAAGCAAGCAAGCAAAAAAAAAAAACGAAGTTGAGAAAATGAGACTGGGTCTTTCGCGACAAAATAAAAAATAAAAATCGATTACGAAACACACCGCAGCCGTGGATCGTGCCGTGCTCGGTGGTGGTTACGAAATACTATTAAGAAATTTAGCGTCGCCCCCATATTGAAGTTTTGATCGCAGCGGCTGTTTAGCACACCAAAACCGTAGGATTTTGCATGGCGTATTGTGGTTGTTTCAATCGATGCGGTTGGGTGTCTTCTAGCTTGTACCTTGTTGTGCTTCCAAGCATAATACAACACCATAAAGCACGCCTGAGTGACAGTGTTTGGGTTCTACACAATCATCAACGAGTGTGCTGTTGTGTGAGGCGTGGTATATAATGTCGCCCTCTTCGTGTTGACGCGTCAAAATGTTGACCGCCGGGTGGAAGCTCCTCAGCAGGAAGGCAAGTCTACAGACGCAACAGAGAATGTATGTGCAGATACCGCGCGCGAGGTCCACTGATGATACGGAAAAATACCGCAACATTTCTCGTGGGAGGGTCGTTCGACGGGATCGACGCGGGATTTTCTCTCGAGCCTGTCGCATGGCGACGTGGTTGGCAAGCGGATATCCTCACACCGCCCCCCAAGCTCCTCAGCCACCACTGGGTTCGTTAGACCATACCACTTCATACTAGAGTACATTAACCCCCCACACAATCTAAATTCCGTTTTGTCGCCACAACAGGCAATATTACCCGTCGAATTCTTCACAATAACATTTATTTGGCAGCGTCACAGCGGAAGGAAGCAGTGTCAAAGTGTCACCATCACCACCAGCCAGCCATCACCTGAGCCTGAGACTCGAAGTTATCCGGCGCGCTCATATCTTCTCCGATGTCGATGGCCGACGCGTGCGCCCAGTAGTCGAACACTTCCGCCACGCTTCGTTGCGCAGAAACCCAACGACAACAAGCATGCACGTGGGAGAGCATGGGGGGCGGTGAGAACCGTGTCACTTCACAGTGTCCACCACAGCAGAAAACGATCGGAAAAATCAAGCACAGCAGCGGCGGAAGCCTCGCCGCCGCCAAAAAAAAGAAGCGCTGGAAAAAAACAGACGTGAGGATGACCGGAGGGAAAACACACACAAAACACACACAATAACAACCACAAGCAAACACACACAGTAACAACCACAAGCAAACACAGCACAGCACGGTCAAGCGCATATGCTGAGCGGCTCGGCCTTCCTTTCACCTTGCCGGAGAGCAAAGGAGCAAGAACTGCTGGAACTCCTTCCTGCTGATCTTGCCGTCGTTGTCGAGATCTGCCCGAAACATGAGCTTCCTGCGAACACGCGACAGCGGAGACGAACACACCCGCGGAGCGACCGACGCGCACAAAAGCAGGAGGAAAAAAGGTGGGCACGTGAACGGGGTATGCAGCACGCCACAACCGCCGTCAGCGTAGGGCAAGCAGCAAAACGGAAGAAAACAACGCAAGTTGCGAACCGCGATTTTTCATCTTCAACATCTCCGAAAATAAACCATGTATGCATGCCTCTCAATTTATCCTTCAACACAGCAGTGCAAAAAAATAAATATATACCGTATGTGAAGTTTAGGTCTCGTATTTACGATCAAGGTGAGGGTTTTGGTGCCTGTTCGGCGTGCTGGTCGCGTGCCCGTATGCTACATACGTCCTGTGATCGTCCTTTCTCTTTCGCCAGGGTGTCGTCCCACTCTAACATGATGCAATGCCGCTTGATTTCTCTAGAGACAAGCAACCGCAGAGACTATCATATCAAATCAGGCCGGCCCAACGAAAGAAGAGAATGTACAGCGAGGGATCGGCGTGATATGCGGACCAGATGAGGGCTGGCAAATAACCAAGAAAAAAAAAAAAACACACACACACACACAACGATAGACACGACTCGCGTGGCTGGCCTGCGCCCTAACACTTTTGCCGGGAACGCAAGACACAAAAAAGGGGGCAGGCGAGACCCTAGGTGAAGCCAGACAACGCCCAAAAAACCGCGAGAGGAAAGCGGGATCCCTCATCAGTCGATGCTACACAGCAGCTGATCCGCGTTGGAACTACCTCATGCGGTCATCAAAAAGCGTAGAGAAGGTGTGTGTGTGTGACCTACGTGATCTGCGCGTCCGAGGCTACGATATCGAGCTTGTCGAGGGCTCTCCGGATGTCCTCCTTCCGGATAAAGCCGTCCGCGGTGTGATCCAGGTTCTCGAAGACATCAGCCAGCTGAGCTCTGACGGAGCGAGAGAGCGATCACGTCCAAGCGAGGAGAAAAAAAAGAAAAAAGAAAGAGAAACAACGATGGTGGCTACGTCGATCACAAAAAGAAAGCTTCTATTGTAGAAGATATCAGCCAACTAAGGGCAGAACGAGCAAGAGACCGATCACGTGCAAGCGACGAGAAACGAAAAAGAAAAGAAGAGAAACAACGATGGTAAACGAAGCCGGACACAAAAAGAGCTTCTGGAAGGTAGCAGCCAACTAACTGGGGTCTGAGCGAGCAAGAGAGCGATCACGTCCAAGCGAGGAAAAGTGAAAACAAAAAAAAGAAGAGAAAAAACCATCGTGACAAGATCCAACACAAAAAAAAAAAAGAGCTACTACAAAAAGATGTCAGCCAGCTGGGCTTTGCGGAAAAAGTGACGGCAACAACACGCGGCAAAATACAAACCGGTGGACGGGAGGGTGTCAGATACAAAACTCCGACGTGTATTGTATCTATAACAAAATCCACCAGTGGGTGGTGGTGGTGGCGGTACGCAGTACGCAGCCTGACCGGGTTGACTCTTTCTCTGAAATCCCAAACGAACACCACTACCACACACTTGATTCTTGTCGCCCGGGGTACGCACGACGTGACGTCATTGGAAATTTCTCCGTTGTCTTTCATACCAAGGCTTGCGTCCGGAGGCTGGGACCGTTGGTCTAGTTTCCTCTGCTGCCCCCCTATAGGGGGGGCGGGGCGTGGACCGAAATAAAAACGGGTTTCGCAGTTGTCCGCACTGAGACTGAGCGGCGTCTTGTTGGTCAGTCGAAAAGTGCAGCTGACGCGAACAAAAAGAAACGCGGGCAAGCACATAAGCGCCCTGGAGACCACTTTCCCGGAAGTGTCCCGCGGAAGGCCGGCGTCTCTCCGCGGCTCCAACGGATTTCGTGCGGTCGATGCTAACGAAACCGCACAACTACTAATGAAACGACCATGGAAATACACAAAAAATCTACATGGGACACACACAAAAGTTCGCCGTCAGTTCGTAGGAAGTGTGCTGCGTGCCTTCGGTGAAGAGCGAGCTCTTCGAACTCAGCGAAGTGGATGATGCCGTCCCTGTTCTTGTCGAACACCGTGAAGAGACCCTCCACGTGATCCGCCTTCGAAGGGAGCTCCAGTGTCTGCAGCCCCGTCTGGACCTGGCAACGAGAGGGGCGCGGGGGTGGTGTGCTGGACTTCTAGTCTGTGCGAATCGACTATTTAGATCGTGGGAACCAGATCTTGTGGCATGATAAGTGAGATGGTGGAAAAAAATCAAATCGTGTGGCAAGATAGTCAGATCGTACAGAAGTTCCGACCGTTTGAACATCGAACCGTGTGGTCGTCAGATCAGGACAGATGGAACGCTGGTTCGAAAAAGCGCCAAAGCGTGAGAGCAAACTGCGACTGAATATCATGAGCGGTACCTAAAAAAAGCACGTGGGAAAAAATACCTCCATGGATCTATTAATCTCAAGAGTCCCCGACAACCTGTTGTTTGAGGTTGCACATTTTTTGTTTCCTTTTCTCGCCTGTTCTCGGTTGACGTAGCCAACCTCATGTCGATCCAGGTGCGAAAAAACCTCTCGAACAACCTCCTGTGTATCGCAGCGGTTCACCGTACACGAAAAACAGACACAATGCACGGGACAGAAAAACATTTGGCGTTTTGGGCGGGGTTCGCGCGTGCGTGCGCGAGAGAGAGAGAGACATAGAGGAAGAGAGAGACAGAGAGAGGTGGGGGGGGGGGGAGGGGCGGGAGGGAGACGCTTGTTTGTTTTAACACCGCCGGACTGTTGCCGTGATCATACACTATCGAAGAAACAAAAAACGGTCCGACCGCGGTCTAACTCCTTCTCTCTCTCTCTCTGCCTTTCCCTTTCTCTCTCTCAAGGTTAGGACACCCCAATACCAACCGGCAAACAAACCAGTTGCGGCGCCACCCTCACTCTTTTTCGTTCTCGATTTTTTTTTACATCGCGTACGCTATTGTGCCTTCGGTAAACCATACCTTCCGCTGGAGGTAGCTTCGATCACGGCGACTACGTCATATTTAAAAACAAGGCCAGAAAAAATACAACCCTTTCCGCAAGGCCTCCCAACCTCCTCTCTGGTGTCTGAACATTGAGAGAAGGGACGTAGATTCTGGACATGGCACCAGCTACATCGTTTCGGTCCGTGAGTAGCATCATGGGGTCTCATTCGTGTCCCAAAGGTTCTATCGAACTACAGCAGTGGGGGGCCCTCAACACCGCCGGTATGCGCCCGGCGAATCGACCGGTGCTATTCAGAGGGACCCGTGCTATTCAAAGCACATAATTACTTTATGATTTCATTCAGTCTGTGCCCAGCAATTTCACCGGCGCCATACAGGGCCACCCGCGTTTGTTCAATCGGCGTCGTTGTTGAGCCCCCCTACTGCTGTAACCGTGTTTCCAGGCACTCCAGACGAATAGGAACATGCATCAAGGCGGAGCAAGTTCCACACGGAGACACCACGCACCCGATCGTGCGGTCTGCACGAAGGCGCATCTTTCTGCCCTCTCGAGGGCTTCTAGCTAGCGCTTATCGACCACGCAGGCCATACGGCGACAAGGCAATCATCAACTACGAGGGCGGACGTCAATCGACCGATGCACACTACATGAACAAGAAAATACTGTCAGCTTTCGTGCCACCACGTGCCAAATAAACACGGCGATGGCGACAACCACGGCGACGGTAGCAAAACGTGCAGCAGCGGCGCCAGCAACAACGACAACAACCCCCAACCAAACGATGTAAGCACCACCAAACAACGACGCCAACAACACCAAAAAAGAAAACGATGGACGGGACTCGCCTTGAACCTTTCCAGCTCCTCCTCCTCCTCCTCCTCGTCCAGGTCGGGGGCCTTCGCAATGCTAAGGGTCCGCTTCAGGACCATCTTGGACGCCCTGCCACTAATCTTGACCCCGTTTGGCTTTAGTAAGCCAAAACCCTAATCCGCTGGCAACCTCTGCTACTTTAACACGGCCGCGAAGCCCACCCTCTTCCAGCAGAGTTAATTGCCCAGATTGTCCTCTGTGAGATGGGTTCTCCCGCAACCAACAAGGGGGGAAGAAAGCCTGTCGGAGTGGAAAGCCGTCGGTCATCATCGGAGGAGGCGTCAGCTCGTCCGTTGCATGATTAGTGTGGTATCTACGCCTCCCTTCCTTTCAAACGTGGTCGCGCCTGAAATGGACGGCGGTGTTTGCATATACCAAAACATGTTGCATGCGCAGGATAGAACCGGAAGAGCAACATTGCTTGTCGTGCGTCCTGTCGCTTTTTCGACCGCACGCTAGTGGACTTGAACCTATTCCACGGTTTGCAAGACGAAGACAACAACAACACAAGACCACCAGGACATATTGTATGCATAGCCCAACATAAAAGTGGGGGGGCAACTTATAGAAGGAGGGGGGGGTTCGCCAAAATCGAACAGGGTGCTGGAGTTGGACTCGGCTGGTGCACGAGAGAATAAGCACTGCAAGTATGCATAGCTAAAACAACCCGCACGGCCTGTTGAGACGTGAAAGGCTTGCATGCCTGGCCTTTGGCATTTCCTTTGGCTTCCAGCGTCGTGTCGCGACTCAGGCAAACGAAAGTGTCATGACGGAGGCGCCCATGAACTGAACGGAACATGTTGGCCGTCGGTCCTAAGAGCGACAGTTTATCTCGAGATATACCCTTTCCTTCTTCAGTGGAGACAAATAGCGATGATGTGCAACAAACAGAACGCATCTCGGCTCGGCAAGCCTGTAGCTGAGAGCGGTTGCGCCGAGTATCAGCAGCAAGCAGCCGCAGCGATAGCAACAGCAGCTATGCCGCATGGGCGAGTTGCATCTTCAGTGCCGAGGTGTCAAGCACGCAGTAAGTGCGTGACTGTTAGAAATGTCGTCCAGATGCTACCGACAAACACACCGCCGGTAAATCAGTACAGCAAATTACACCGCCTTCGGAACAGACGGAATAAACTTGAACTTCTCCCTGGAAGAGAAAATACGCCGGCCCCAGATGTTTAGTTGGCTTTGCAAGCTTCCAAGGTTGCATTTGTGTACGCTGCCTAACAACCAACAAGAAAAAAAACTTGAGAGAAGCTTGTGAGCATGCGTGCCTCGTGCAGAGCTGTGGCCGAAGGGGTTCAACGCCAGATCACAGCCTGCACCCTTCGAGCTGCCGTTGCAACCGATGGACATAACTCTTACCCAATACCATAGACATTAACGACACGGCACACCGTGCACCCAGCAACAGGTTGCGAACACTCTATATGGTCACTTGGGTGCTTCTTGGGCTCGTCCTCGTCCGCTTGACGCACCGTGAATACAGACGGCGCGAGCATTGACCTACAGACACTTGAGGGATCGACCCCCCGGCATTACATATAGCAACGGTGGAGAATGAGGTACCGCCCATGAAGCAGATGCTCAGAAACAACACGCAGTGAGATAGATATGAGCTGCACAACCTCCTGCACCACGAACCGTAGACCCCCCTGGCGGTGCTTTCTCCCTCGGCGCTGTCTCTCCTCTCTTCGGGCGTCCGCTTTGCACCACCGTTCAAGCCTTCACACAGCGAATCAACGTCCACGAAACGAATCAAGCCTTCATTGCGCCCGTGCAGCAGCCGGCTCACCTTCCCTGTTTGCTGACAATGGGGCTAGCTCGGCGTTGCCTACGAGAAAGCCACGTGCAAGACTCCTGGAGCGGCCTAGCGTCGGGGGTGGGGTACACTTAGCACCTGGCCTCTGCTCTGTCTGATGGTGGTGGCGATGGCTGATGCGGCGGAATGACGGAATTCGGTCTTTTGTCGGAGATCCGGGTTTCCATGAAAAAAACCCATATCTGAAACCGTTGCGTAGACCGTCTCTTCGGAGACTGCTCACCAGCGTTGGGATGGGGCAAGGAAGACCACGCCTGCTGTGCTGAGCACCGAAGGGGACGAGGCGTGTGGCTACTCGTAGAGGTGGCTCAATTACCATGAATTCCCTGTTTTTCGATTACCCGTGCAAGGGAGACGGGCGCGACGAGCGAGGAGCGGTGACGACGGATCTCGCTTGGTGCAAGTCGGAGAATCTTTTGGCCTGCGCCCTGGATAGCGGGAGAGTGGCAGTTTATCAAGATGAGGTACGGTCATGGGATGCGTTCACTTGGCTATAAAATCGCATGTCGGCGTTGGGTTCTGTAGCTTTGGATCACCAGAGACATGGAGCGCAGAAGGTTATACATAGATTTTTCATACTCATACACGGAGAGACAGAGGGCTCAAGGTGTAGGGTATGTACACAAGCTTTTTCCCGCCGCCTCTTTAGGTAGCAACCAAATCGAACCACGATGTACTGCTGTAGAGCCAACGCTAAGTAGGTTGCCCAAGCAACCGTTCATGGCGTCAAGAACGTATTCGCGATCTCGACTTTTGGTTTATGTTCGTGGGATCTATTCTGGCCGCCAGTCTACAGGGAGTACAGTGGACTGTACCGCAGACTGTAGACACCGTTGGTTCATTTTTGGATGCAATGGCCGGGGTCACACATGTAGAATATTCTTGCGTTCCTTGCCGTCAACGTGTTGCTCCGGAGAAGGTTCCCTCCTGTTTTCTTTGTTTGCACTCGCGACTAAGCTCTTCACCTCTGAATTGCGAGTTTTTTCGCTCCCGGAGAGATTCGAACCCACAACCTACCTCGTCGATGGAAGAAGATTTGACGAAGACTACTGTACATAGTCGATGCATACGTTCCGACATTAGCACGAAAAACGGGACGATAGTGGTGTATGCAAGACAACAATAGGTAGTGGTACAGCGTCTGTCTACAGTAGGCTCCAGAGTCTATCTACGGTAGGCTCTGTTGAAGTTTTCGAGAAGGACACATTTATTCCCTACAAAGAAAAGTCCTTTTGTGTGCTTGTCGGCTCCAGAACATATCGCTAGAGTGTCATTATTTCGTCCATGGGCGCAAGCCTCGCAGAGAAGGGTGGAGACTGCACCGGCATTCTCAAGCTGTATTCTTGCTCTCTGGCCTGGCCTGTTGGACTATCTACAGATGCTGTTGAGTGTACGAACTCCTCTTTTTATGCATGCATACATTCCGCCCTCCTCTGAACCTTGCTGTTCGTAACTAATGGACGGGTGGGATATCGGGTCGGTACAGGGGGCTGAGGTTGTGGCGGCATCAATCGCAAGGGGAAACAGGCAGAGGGCGAGCGTCATGGACTGGTCGCCGAGGGGGCGGGTGAGATGTGCAAAAATTGTATTCGCAGTCGATCGTACTTCATTGGCAAAATGAGGCTATAATATCGACCAGCAGAGCATGTATACACAAAGTGCATCGTCGGACTACAAGGCGAAAACAATGTACGTGACCAATGTTTAATGAGCTGCTTGTGGGAGCGGGGGGGTGGGGTCTCATAACGTTCTGGCTTCGCGGTTACGTTGATCCCGTCGCCAGGAGTATCCTGTGCTCTTGTACATCCACCTACCACAGCAATTTCGCCAAAAAATAGTGGCCTTTCCCAAGCTGACCGAATACTGGTACCACAACCTCCCGAACCATGAACCTTGCCCTAGTTCGCCGCTGCAACTTGTTCCGCCCCCCCCCACCGCTGTCTACCTGTCTGCCTTCCCGATTTTTTCTTCGGTTCCCGATAATTCTGCATCCGCTCGTCTGCTGTGTTAATCTGGCAGCTCCTAGCGATAGGCTGGGTGGACGGGCAGGTCTCGACATGGAACGTGATGGAGCCTCTACAGGAAGACACCTCTATCTGCGCTTGCTCCAACCAGGGGGTTCACAAGCAGCCTATCACCGTGGTGCTTTGGAACCCTTCGGGAACACGCCTTGTCACAGGAGACAAAGTGAGCAGAGACGTCCGCACAGTTGGTACATGTTTTGGTCGATGAAAGCGTTGCCGTGCTAGAGTGTACCTGCCGATTCTTTTGGCGTCGTCCGTACAGATATGAAATGATCCACGCAGTAGCGCCAATAACATTACTTGTTCACCGAATGACAATATGTGTCGGCATCATTGCAAGTGTTTGATGGATGCCTCTCAGTCTAGGGTAACCGCAACCTTCCACGTTTCAATATAACGTACGGAAGCTCTAAAGTCGTTCCTGTCCGTCTGTAGCACGCCGTCAAGCAAGACACTAGGAAACTCGCGTGTGCAAGGATAACAACTACCCACTTTGAGAGCTGGGGAGAAAGGACGCAGACGCCGTATCACTGTTCTACCCAACCATATGCGTATCCCCGCAACTGGTCACGCATGGGCCAAGCGTAAAAGAGTTGGTTTCAGCATGTTTTCGGGCCAACCGCAACTGCCAGAATTAAGCAACGTCCCCTGCTTGCTGCGGAATCAATTTTTTTTTCTGAGCATCTATTATAGCACAACGTATGGACGAACTCAAGTTTGGCCCTCGCTTTTTCACCTCTTCCGATATTAACGCCAACAGGGAGGTGTGATCTGCGTGTGGAAGGCGGATGCAAGGGGAAACATGGCCCCATCGGTTCAGTATCGGCGGAAGAACAGCGCAATCACGGCGGCGGTCTTTTGCGGCAGCCCTTCGCATTCCGCTGATGCCCTAGCTCAGGTAACCTCTCACAGCTCGTACTCAACCTACGTGGGTCTAGAGCGTTTTGTACAACAGCATACTGTGGGACTTGCTCCGATACCAACGACCTGCGTTTGTACCGACGTTTCCGGCATTCACACTACACTACTGCTGCAGGAGGTCCGACCAGTGTTTTGACGTAGCTCGAGCGTCGTCCACTAAACACGAGGCATCTTGGTTCAAGTCACTTGTGCTAGAAACATGGGACTCTCAGTGCAGGGCTTAACCCACACCAACATCACCACGGAAACCTCTATTGGCGGTTGTACCTTGGGCTCTGGCGTCTTCCAAGGATCGGCGACATCCGCCCGCTGCCTCAGAAAATACTGAATCATTAGGTCTTTCCAGTTCTGTTTTGGGTCCGAGATGGCTCGGTGGAAGTCCAGAGGACTCAATACCGTATTGTAGGCGGCGACATGCATCTATTGCGTACAAATAGGAAGACTGGTTAATCGTAACAAGCCAGGCACCAAACGTACCAGGTTGGCGGCTGGTTGGCTACGGACGATAACGACAGTCCGCTTCCACTCCCCCATAAAAGTTGTTGTTCGCAGCCATCCGGTTTCATTTCCCTCCTCTCGCCTGCCTTCACCTCCCCCTCGCCGGCCCACAACCAAACTTGTTTGGGTCTGGGTACTGTCCATACTTACGTCTCTGTTGGAGCTTCTCGTAGGACGTGACTTTCACCCCCACCCCCGTCCCTCTCAACAACAAACTCTCTGTTCCCATTCCCTGACCCTCGTGGTTGGAAGGCTTTTTCTCCGTCATTTTTCTTTTCGACGGAGAGCGGGGCTGTCTGCTACGCGGACGACCTTGGTCATTGCTCCGAGGTCCAGCAGCTCACCTCGCCGGTGGACAGGCTCATGTTCTATGAGGCTGCCCGGCGGCTCGTGGTCATCACTCGGTCGCTCCTCATGACTCAATTACAGGTACGGGGTTCTCTGTCTCGCCCAGCACAATCATTATTTGATGTGACAAGTTTTCGCTCGTGCCTTGGGTTTGTCTATTTGTTTGCGCAGCGAAGGTCAGAGCACCACTATCGAAGCCAGCCAAACTCGCTGTCGTCCTCTCTAGCTGGTCAGCACACAAACCAGGTCACGGGGTATACGGGGATGCTCGATGTGTGGCATGCCCATGTCTTTTGATACCCCCGTAGAGACCAGCTTGGCGCAACGGGTGCGCTCTCTCAGTCGCTCCTGGAACAGGTCGAAATAACCCAGTCCCAAAATGCACACGAGTTCACTTCGAGAGCGTAATTGCTGATGTAGCATCTTTCAGCATGTCCGTCCTTCACCCGACGTATCATCTCGGTGTTGTGCCAGTGTCTACCCCGCAGTTTGATGGCGTCCCTTAACACCCAACATTTGTCTCCTCTCTTACGCGTTGGCATTCAACATCAACGCGTTACCCGTTCAGCTAGCTCGCCGATTTTGACAACCACTTCTCCCCGCTGTACTCTGCCTTTTGGGACAGGTCGGGGAGGATGGAAGGGTCAGTCAGTTCATGAAGGTCAAGCTCTCTGTCTCAGCTTCGTCCGTGAGAGAAACTGGCCTTCGAGAGGTGCGGAAATGGTGAAATAGTTCTAAATAGTGAGTTGAAACGCGTGCTCGTCACTTCCCTCTGCAGCTGGACGCCCGTTGACGAACACACACTGCCCAAAGCGACGAGGTCACTAAATTGGCCTACACCCGATGAAAGGAAAATGCAATCTATTCCAAATCCTTCGGGAAAATATGTACTCGTACCTGGCTAGCGCTAAATGCATAACTCGTCAACCTGCGATTCTCTTGCCAATCTTCCTTCTGCAAAGGTCACCTGGGCTGGGCCGGGTCTGCTCGCTGCTGCCACTGGCGAGGGCTTGGTGAGGTTCTGGGACCTTTCCTCGGCGAAAAACTACGTGCTCACGCTGCCGTCGGGGGGTCTAGACCGCACCGACAAGTCTACCTGTATCAGCTTCGATCCAATCAGAAGGTTTGAACGAGGACGCCTCAGAAGCATCTACCACGCCGCATGATTTTCCCCCAGTATTCTCTTCGGTTCGTATTCCCCGGTACGACAGTTGAGAAGAACCTTCCGACCCTATCGTAGATGATCATGAGCTCTGTTTGCCAAGCCACAGCTGGACTTCCACCCAATACCTTGAGTTAAAGCAGGTAGAAGTCGGAAAAAGTGATGTCTGTACGGTGTAATTCGGAGTATAATTTTTCGACGGTCCACACATCACGTCCAAACTCCAAGCTTGAAGTCCCCATCCTTGCTGTGTGTCAACACGACAGATATTTGGCAGTGGGGTCGATGTATGGCTGCGTGGCGATCTGGAAATTCGTCGGCGAGTACGAAAGCGGGGTAGAAGCAAGCGACCAAGGCGACGAGCAGGGGGAACAGCCATTGACTAATGGAAAACAGGCGAGGCACTACTGTATGGATACACATTCAAATACACCCACGCACTTGGGAAGTTCGGGTTGTTTCAGACATCCTTATTTTCAACACAGGGGGCGCAATCGCTTTGCGTGATTTGCACCTCCCGAATCAGTGGTAGCGACACCATATCACAGCCGACCCAAAACAGCTTTGAAAGCTAAAATTTGGTTGTAAGAACAATGAAACGACCGCGAGCAGGCCGAAACGCACGTCCAATCTGGGAGTGTTCGAGGGGACACCCATTGCAAGCACATGATTGTAACGCCGAAACGGGCTGAGAGCCGCACTATCGCCCTTCAACTCCTGTTTTTCCATCCGACAAAATGCGAACCATGATGTTGCGGAGATCCTCCCTAAACAAGAACCTTTCTAGTGGTACGTAAAGGCCACAAAAACCTCGGCTTACCCGCCTACCGGTTCCGTTGTCGAATCCGTGCGTGAAACACACCACTCCAAGCCGAACACTTTGCCGTTTCGTCGCCCATGAAATCTCATCATCATGCCCCGTAACAAGCAGGAAACCAACAAACATGCCTCCGGATGGAGTACCAAGTTTAACCGAAGAGGCAGCAAGACTGCCGGGGCGGATCTGAAAAGGCCCCCGTCCCCCGGAGACTCGGGAGGACCCAGCGATTGGAAATCTCTGACCCCAACCACCCTCGATAGTGCGGCGGTGGGCCTTCTTCGCTGGGGGGCGGCAGGGGGGGTGCTGGGGGCCATCGGACGCGACATGGTGGACGGGGCGCACGTTCTGGCGGAGACAGTGCTGCACCGCCAGCTCAGGTAAAACGCAAGCAAGCCGTTCACGCTTGTAGGCTACACATCCAAATTGGTGCAGGTTGCAGTGGTATATAATCTCTTGTCCAATCTACATACTTGCCAGGTTTTGGTGGCTAGCAAAGTTCCGCCTCATACGGTGTTCCACCGCACTCCAGGAAAAGAGAAAAGGATTTTGGTGGATACACGCTTTTGGAGCGGGAAATTCTCTCTGAGGTCAATGGTTGCTCCAAAATGTGTGGACATGCTAACGTAGTTCACGTCAAGGCTCAATAGTACTATTGGATGGTAACTTGCTGTAGACATCCTCTCATGGCTGCGTTTTTGCACGACCGTTTCGCAGTGGCAACGTCGCGGTTGTGCAGTTCTCCAGCGATACCCTTAGCATCGAGTATCAGAGAGAGGGGGAGGGGAGTGGTGGTGGCGGGGGCAATAAACCGATCAGCAGCGGTATGGCAACAGCAACAAAGGGGGCCGCCATCGAAGGGGGCAACTCTTCAACTGTGGAAGGAGAGCACGTGGTGCGGTGCGATATCACCATCAAGGGCTTCCACCTGCAGGTGCCTGAGACTGCGAGCTTCATCGTGTCTGTCGATAATAATATGTGTCCGATTCAACTTCGCCGAGAACGAGGTACGAATCCAATAGGACACACTTTGGTCAGAGTTTCCCCGTACCACTGGAGTTTACTCCGAACAAAAAACACAATTTGCACTCGATCGAAAGATGCAACAACCTATTGCGATTCATGACGGTGTCACGAGACATATCCGCGAAGAAACGCTTTGGAGTGCACACGAGGAGCATGGTGGCGTCTAGTTTTCTCTCAACAAGACAAGATCCGAGGATGCCCGCTTACAGAAAGAACAGCTGGATGCCAGAGAAAACACCTACATGCCCCACGCCGTGCATCCGAAACAGGGTTTCCCAGATTTTTCGTGATGACTTGCGTGGTCCAAACATGCGGGGGGAACGGGTTGACGGGCCGAACACACTACGTGGTACGTTTCGAGCGTGCTTCTATTTCATGTTCAAGCGCTCCTCCAGGCTGACGCTGGCCTCTGACACCTTGATGCACTTAACCACGTCTGTGGTTGCCACCGGTCGATTTCTTGTCGATGCTACTCGCCGCCCGCTTTCCAAACCGCCCAATATAAATCGACGTGTTGACGGACGTCTGGTCGAACGCCGTCGGGTCTTCTTGCGGATGTCGGAAAAGGGCGACTCTCTTCTAGTACACAACAGCAAGCAGGCACAGGTGAGACGGTGATAGGTGCACCGGCCCGTATGCCCGACAGAGGAAACGAGGAGCATTCATATGAAACTTATTTTTGGTCGCACGATGAAGGCACCGCCAGGGTCGACAAGTCTGAACAAGCGGAAAACGGTGTCGTGTATTCTGCGTAAGACGGACGTTGATCGAGATGCTTCTCAAGCTGCAGAGAGAGAAGGTAGGGATAGGGGTAGAGAGAGGCACAAGCAACAAGTGTAGGCCCGCCCCACGTATCCACTTTTGTTGAGCGTGAAAACCAACTGTCTCTGATGACACACCCAGCGATTCGTGAAGCGGGGAGGCGGGGCCGGCCTCACTCTCCAGAGAGGCGTGTCCCATACCCGTTCTCTGTTTTTAACCTGTTCCAGCCATGTAATCGGAAACTTTTCGCTTTCATTCCCCTCCTTCCGGCAGCTGGTGAAGCTAAGAGGAGCCGGCCTGTCCCCGAAGAGAGGGGACCCGTGGCCGTGCCTGGCTCGGTCGGTCGCAGTGGACGATGCAAGGGATCAGGCTTTCGTAGCCGCTGGCTCCAGGGTGGAGATTTACAACTTGAAGGTGTGTCGTCGCCGTCATCGTCGTCTCACCGTGACAGTGCGAGACATCACACATCCACTTGAAAGATTTCTAGAAATCGATTACTCCACAACCAACGATGCGAAAATTGACCGGGTACGTTACGTGTAAGGAACGCTCGACGAGGTCTGACGCGAACCTTTTCGGCATTGGCAGCCTCAAATGTTACGCGGAATAATCGAGCCGTAGAATTCGTGCAGGGTGCATGCCATGACTCGATAACTCACGGTAACCGTCGTCGTCGTTGTCGTCGTGGTTGCACTCTACTTCGTACGCACATAATGGTTCCGCATGTTCCCGCCAATCCTATGTAGGAGTAGTGAGTAGCCCAATGTGCAGACCATACAAATGGGAAAACAACAAGTGCGGCCCCGAAAACGCACGCTCTCCTTGAACAAAAATCGGGTCTCCATTTGTTTTTTCAGGGGGGTTTCAAGAGCGCCCTGGCGTTTACGGAAGCGGAGGGGAACCCCATCTTGGTTTCCCTCTGCGGCTCTTTCTTGGCCGTTGCCACCGATCGGGGAGTCATCAAGCTGTACGACGTCTCCAAGCGGGCAAAGATCGACGCGTCCACTCTACCGGTGAAAACACGAATAGTCTAGTCGGGTAGCCAGTTGTCGTGGGGTATGCATGGGAACAGATTTCTTGCATAGATACTGATCAAGGTAGAGAAACTACGCTGTCCCATCTTTGTGCAGCTGTCAACGTGTTGGGTATCCTCTCACTATGGGAAGCCGGAGAACAAGAATGTTTCGTTCGAGAGATGACTATTTCTAGTAAACTTGATCATTTGTAGCACGAACTCAGACCCTAGTGTCTGGCGGGATGTTCTTGAACTTCATCAGAACCGAATACACCCCCCTTCCCCCCTCTGACTTGCCTGGGTGCAAAGGTCCGACCGCTGGGCAACGCTGGAGCTTTCAAGTGTCCGAAGACAGGGAGCAGCCTTGGCGTGATTCGGTCGATTTCGTGTAACGCCGACGGGACAAGGGTCTCCATACTCAGCGACAAGGTTCACGGCCAGGTAGGGTGCCGTCGCTTAGTCATACCTGAAACACGCCTCTGTTTTGCTGGTCACGGAAGCTGTGTGATGCTGGTGGAGTTTCAGGTGGTAGCTCGGCGTGCACACGAGGCAGATCGAAAGAGGATTTCACTAGGAAACGACAAAACTCGTACTCAGTCAACTAGACCGTCCTAGGTTGAGATCTTTAGGTTGATAATTGATGGACTTTCATGGCACTGACTGCCGTAATTGTTCCAACTGACCGGCGAAACTTGATTTTGCACCAGTTGCATGCCTCTACCCCCCATTTCCTTCTCATTAACCATACATCAATCGACCTTCTCCCGCACAAACACATGAAAAAAAGTCCTTGAAGATTCGGTTTCCGGACAGCCGTATCCACGTCTACGGATCCGACAAGGACTCTGTCGAGAGCTATGATTGGGGACCTGAAGGACGGTTTCCTACCGCACATTTCTGGGACCCACAGGTGAAGGAGGTGTAAATAACACCATGGGTAGGTATCGTGGGGTCCGCTGCTGCGATACGCGTGTGAAAGAATGAGCCCATCGCAGGTCCACGTGAGAAAGTAGTAGCCTCTCGAGACTCATATTCTACGACTGTGAGTCTCTTTTCCAAGAGTCAAATATTGTAATTCTTCCCTGGTACACAAGTCCACTTTTTCATCCATCTACACCAAAGCTATTGGCGGGAAAACGATTTCCATTAGTCACAGGCTGGCCCAAGCTCCTTACAAAGAAGAAAGCATAGCATAGACAACTCTGACGATCGCGACCTTTGTTTTCACGTAGTCAGCAACCAATAAATATGGTTGTTGCTCTGTTACAGTTGATTTTGTTTTTGCTCTATTTGGCTGGTGGCCTTGGCACACGCTTCCCGCCTCGCTTCAGTGCGTAGATAAGCTTGTCCTTTTAACGCGTTTTCAAGAACATCGGACCTGACTTTTATTCGACTAGCGAGAAGCTGCTCCGGTCGCGGCGCTGGCTGACCCGCCAATGCGTTATGCACCTGTCTGTCTGTGTCCCTTCCTCGTTTTAACCCCAGGAACCAAGGTTGTTGGCTGTAGAGGCAAGACGCGCTACCGGTGGAAACGGTCGGGGTGCCCAGCAGAAGGCAAGAAAACGTGTTTCTAGCAGCAGGAGCATATTGGGTCGACGAATTACTCACGCATAGATGGTTAACGTGGTGATGTTGCAGCTGAGTTTGGATCAACGTGATCGCGAAGCGGTAACGTGCTTCCCGTTTCCTTCCCTCCTTCTCTCCTTCTCTCCTTCTCTCCTTCTCTCCGTCCCTCCGTCCCTCCCTCCGTCCCTCCCTCCGTCACTCTCTCCTTCCCTCCGAACAGAAACTGTCCAGTGGCGATGGCAGGGAAGAGAAGAAGAGCGGGGCTGAAGGGGAGGCCAGGAGATGGGGGGACGACAAGTATGGGGGAGATTCAGAAGCAGCTGCAGCCGCAAGAAGCAGCGCAAGGGCGAAAGCGGCAAACCTGGGCGACTCGGGCCCTTGCGAGGCAGAGGTGAGGTAGTCGTGTTAGAACCGACGGCGTACTCTTTGCCTATATTCCACTCGGTGCACACTCAGAGATGTGTGAGTCGCATCCCGTCTCCGAGGCTCTTCTTCGCAGCGCGTTCCATGAAAAAAGCAAATGAAGCTACAGCGGGCGGGGAACTAACACCGTAGAAATGGAAAGTTGGGGGCGCTCGTGCGACGTGAGTAAGAATCGGGCGGGCTCTTGTTGAGTGCAAGATGGTGTCTGACAACCAGCGAAACCTCATTCGATTCTGTCCTTTCATTGCTAGCGGTCGCACCTTCTCCCCTAAATTTCCCCAACAATATTCAGGTCACGACGTTGTTCGTAACGAGCGACTTCGGCATCCTGATGCAAGACTCCTTCCCTCTAGAAGAACCTTTGGAAGCCCTTCTTGGACTACAGGTACATGACGTCCACAAGGGGAACCCTGTTGCAACAAGTCTTGGCGGCATCGAATAGACTTGGCTAGTCCTCCCGGAGCCATCGGTGATATCACCTGTACACGAGGGTCTGACCACCAATAGGCATCGTTTGGCGAAGCAAGCCACGGGCCTTGATGTTAAGCCATTGCTTCGCAGGCATGAGCAAAGTCCATTCGAGCAAAGTCCATTCGAACGTCGAACCTACGACCAACCACGTCAATTTATACCCCTGGTGATGATTGGCCTGTACCGCAGCCCCCTCCTCTCTCTCTGCTCCGCGCTCTACCATCAGATTCCTCGCTTATACTTCACAGCGCGAGGGGTACCCATCCCTGACGAAAAGGAGAAGTCAGACATTGCAGACGACGTCCTAGGAAGCGGAATTCTGGTAGATCAGGGAGGCGGTGTCGTGACGAGTGGAGTGGATGGGGAGGGCGGAGGGCAGCTAGCAGGACGGCCGGTCTTGATGTCGCGGGCCATGAGGGACTTCGCAGGGCTCGACCAGGTAACGACAAAAGGTAGCCAAAGGGCATAGTCGTTCGACCAAAAATGGTCTGTGCGAGAGCGATTGCCTTCAATGATTGTAGAGGTCTAGGCGAGTGCGACCGGGCACCACAAGCTTGGTGGCAAATCTTGCGTTCACATTATACTCTTGCAATTGTTTCTGCCTGCGAACGCCACCCTCGTAATGTCTTCATGACGAGAGGTGTGTGTGCCAGAATTCAGGAATATTGGGGTGCCTAGACCGAGAACACCAGTAAATTCACTCATTCTCTTGGGCTTCTGGTTCTGTGAGATTCCGACAGCACGTTGTGCTCGAATACTCCCCCCCCCGTTCTGAATCAGCCCTCAACGACGTTGGCATGTAGCAGCATTTGTCGCTTTCGAAGAGCGCACTCAAACGTTGGAAGTAGCCGCCGAGGGATAGAAGCACTACCTCGTTCCTGTGCGATCAGCGGCCTTGACTACGATAAATAGCTCCCGCCGCACCCCCAACTCCCCACAGTCCAACGGATTCAACGAACAAAGCTTGTCATCAATATCATGCAACAACAGTCTCACTGTCATCTCTTGATCCCGGTGAGCGAAATCTTGGACAAGCACCTTCTCCCTACGTGAGGGAAAACAAAGCTTATGTGGCGCTCCGATACTTATTCACCGTACATATCGCTTGGTCCTAAACCATTGGGCTCATTGTTTGTCTCGGACTCGGCTGAAACATTTGTTGCATCACGCTATGCGGCAGGTGGACGAGAAGACTTCGGCGGCTCTGCTAGACTTTTCTCTGCATCTGACGGTGGGTGACATGGACAAGGCGTACGCCGCGGTGCGGCTGATCAAGAGCGCCACCGTGTGGGAGAACATGGCGCACATGTGCGTCAAGACGCGTCGCCTGGACGTCGCGGAGGTGAGTGACTGCGCCCACCCCTCGCTGCCCCAATTCACTTAGTTGGGTAAGGTTGGATGGGCTTCCGTGACGTCGACGACTACGATGACGACGACGACGACGATCATCTCCCAAAACATTTGTCTGTGCTCGTGCCCGTCATAACCCTTAGCTGTGCTTGGGAAACATGGGGCACGCTCGAGGGGCGGCAGCGGTCCGTCTGGCCAAGATGGAACCCGAGCCGGAGGTAGCCGTAGCTCAGGTGGGACTCCCTGACTTGCGGTAGTCGTTGTTGATGCTAACCACGAGAGGGCTGTACGCAGGGACGACGGCTGCATTTCAACATGCCCCAGAACTTGTCCCACACAAGCAAGCAGAGCCATATGTGCAGCAACAAACACATCATAGAAAGCATAGAAAATAGTTTTACTGTAAAATTTTGAGGCATTCCATTGAAGCCCTAAATGAGCAGCTGAACGCGTATCCTCGTGCGCTCGATCTGTTTATGCAGGTGGCGACGCAGCTAGGATTGCTGGATGATGCCGTACGTCTGTACCGGGAGTGTGGTCGCTACGACCTCCTCAATGGGCTCTATCAGGCCTCTGGACTTTGGGAGCGGGCCCTGGAGGTCGCAGAGGCTAACGACGGGATAAACCTTTCCACGACACACCAACTCTATGCCCAGCACCTGGAAAAGGTAATAGCGAGAGGGCAAGAGGGAGAGGGCTCGGCATCCTTGGGAAAACAATCCGGATTCACTTTCAGTGCTTTACATCTTCAATTCATAATAACCTTGGTTATGGTCGCGTTATTCTAAGAGGACAATGTCTAATATAAGTTAATCAAGGCGACCAAACCCCTCTCTTAACTATGCGCCCCTTCTTTCGATATGTACTTGTGGTTAAATGCCTTAGGTGGGCGACACAGCCGGCGCCATCCAGCACTACGAGCTCGCCGGCACTCACTGTGTGGAGGTGCCGCGGATGCTTTACGAGCGCGGGAGGGTGGAGGATCTAGAGGAGTATATCACTCAGGTGCCCTTCATACGTTGCACACTCGTGGGAACGGTTTCGACAGAAAGTGATGCTGAAATCCCCCACTCCAAAATAACGCCCAGCCCATGCTATTACTTCATTGTCCCGTGTGCCTTGACACCATGATGTTTTTTGTTCCTTCGATCGCGAGGAAAAGCTTGGAATGCAAAGATTAAGGTCAAAAGGAGGAGCTCCCTGCCCCAAAAGGGTCGCCCGTTTGGGGGTTGATGACAAACTCCCACCTTAGCCGATACGGTCCAAGCGCGTAACATTCCAGGATATCACCGGGTCTGGTACCCTTTCCCCCTTTCCGGCCAACGTGAGGGAGTCCACAACCTCCTCCACTGAAGGAGGTAGACATAAGTAACATGCGGTTCATAGAGGAGTTGATCTCGATTCCCGGTTTGGCGCTCGGACCGGCTTGAGCGACCTGTCTCGTCCCCCGCTCTCCTGTCGTTATCGTTGCTGTGTCAGGGCAACAACGTGCAACTGCTCAAGTGGTGGTCTCAGTACCTCGAGTCAAGAGGAGAGTTCGAAAAGGCCCGCAAAACCTACACCCGGGCGCAGGACTACCTGTCGTTGGTCAGGCTGGCCTGCCAAGGTGGACAGGTCGAGCGGGTGCGTCATCGACAAGTACCACACTTTTTGCAAGCGAAAAGCCAATGTAACTCGTTGCTTACCCCGCCAAACGAGCCTCTGACTCTAGCCTGTCACCGAAATATGTTCTGTGTTATTGTCTTGAGTAGGATCCTCTCCCCTGTCCCCTCCCCCTCCCTATTTCGATTTCCCTTTTTAGCACCATACATCACACCTCTCTCCCTTCTTTCCCCCTCATGAACTCGAACTACAATTGCATATATCAGGCGATAGGGATCGTGAACGAGTCGGGGTCGGCGCCGGCCGCGTACCACCTTGCGAGGCATTTGGAAGCGGTGGGGAGAACGGCCGAGGCCGTTTCGTTCTACGCTCGAAGCAACCGTTTTAATCACGCCATCCGATTGGCCAAGGACCACGGCATGGACTCCGAGGTAATCAGCATATTTCAAGGCATGAAGTCGGCAGTCGCAATGCTCTGGTTTTTGTGATCGCGCTTCTCGTTGAGACCTTCTGATGTTGAATCTGTTCCATCCAATGGTGGTAACGAGGATCCAGAGCCCTGAGAATCGTGTGGTTCACTTTCATTTCCTGGCGCGCAAACTCCGAACTGGCCAATTTCTCTCGAAACAAGCGACGAACGTGCCCTCAAGCAGTCACCCGACCCTCATGGATCCTGTTGTGTTACTTCGGTGATGGCCACATATATCAGGCCCCCAAAAGGTTTCAAAGCCAGTCCCAACAAGGAAAGCCCACCAAATCCAACCTCTATCCTCACACCGACGGCCTCTTATTCCGTTCTTTCCTCTTGCCTGTTGGCGAATCTCCTCTTGCCTGTTGACGAATGTTTTTCCCAACACCCACGACCATGAATGGACATGCAGCTGATGGGGTTCGCTCTCAAGAGTCGACCAAGCCTCATGGTCTCCGTTGCGGACTACCTCCAAGACAAGGGCGAACTAGAAAAGGCGGTGCAGCTGTACCAGAAGGCGGGTGAGGTTACCAAGGCCTTAGACCTCTGCTTCCGGTCCGGTGCGGCAAGCGGAGAAGCAGATCAGAAGCACGGGGGTGAGGGCGAGGGGGAGAGAAGCCCGGCAATGTTTGAGGCGCTCAAGTCTATGATGGACGACCTTGGCTCGCACGCTTCTCCGCAGGTAGGTTCGGCATGGAACATGCACCGTGCTAGTCGTTGCGGTGGCGAGAACGGGTGGGTTGCAGTGGCAGTACTGTAGCATTTTCCTAAACAGATCGAGATACACCTCAACAAACCACGCCCCGCCATGCCCTGAAGGAGGACTGCGGCAGCAGTGTCGGGACAAGCAGCAGCAACCCGAGAGAACGATAGCCTTCACGAACTTCGATGGGTGGTGCCTTCGTTCGGTTGAAACGAAATAGCATTCAATCTGGTTGTTGTACTTCGGGTTGGTATAGGGTTTGAGAGGCTAATTTTCTGCCTGGTCCTACTCCGCTTGCACAGTGCATTGGCTTTCGAACAGCGGATAAACTTCGTGGAAGCCATGTAAGCGCGTAGTTTAGGAATGTTCTGGAATTTCATACGCCTCGAGAGAGTTTGCTGCTTGCGTGAGACGGTGTGGACATGCACCATGTACGTAGCAAGTCCACCAACGCCTGGATGAATACAGCAGTCGTCTTGGCAATAGACACGGAGCAAACAAATTGAACAGTGTTTTGCTGACCTTTGTGTCGAAGCTATCCATTGAAGCACAGTTGGGCGAATCTACTCATTCTTGTAGGGACTCGCTGGAAACGCCCTCAATCCACTTCACTGCATGCTTCTCCCTCCCTGGCATATCTCAACATATTCAAGGTGTTGAGGGGCAACCACATGGATGCGATCCTTCCCTGAGATCCCTTGGTGCGCCTTGCATCAAAGTGCGTCAACGATGTGCCGATCACCTTGACAATTGGCATTGGAATACCACAGGGACAATTAACGATACGTCTCTGACCTTGCCAACATTTGATTCGCCATGCATAAACTTGTTGTAGGTCCTTTCGCGCTGCGTGGAGTTCTTTGTCGCCAACGGGCAGTTCGATAAAGCTGTGGGGCTGTGCATCACCAACCGAAAGCACTTACAAGCCATTGAGCTCTGTGTCGCACATAAGGTAAGAGAGAACGAGCGGGAAAGAGAGCAGAGAGTTCGAGAAGGGGCGTCGAAGATAGAGCGAGGCAGGGCAAAACAGAGGGAGATACCACTGGGAGAGAGAGAGATAGAGAGAGACAGCCCGGCTAACTTGCGTTTATCACTCCAGGTAAACATCTCCTAATCCTGGCACAAAAGCGTACGAGGCGAGCCCTTTTTTCACTACCACTGCCTTTGTCGAAGCCGCTCCTTTTGGCCCCCGCCTCCGACAGTCACTTTTTTCAATCCGCTCCGGCCGTACTCTGTAACGCAACACGCATTGGGTATTCATACAAAAAGGTACCCATTTCAGAAGATATGGCGGAAGAACTCACCCCGAAAAAAGACGGAGGCGAGAGCGGCAACAGCGGTGGCAACGGTGGAGAGAGCGGTCGAATGGGCGAAAGCAAGGGGGGAATGGCAGAAGGCACTCGGGAGGACGTATTAAGGGAGCTGGCGAAGGCGTGTAAGCGTCAGGGGAACTTCCACCTCGCCTGCAAAAAGTACACGCAGGTGAGCAAGTATGCGAGAACCGATGTACCTGTTAGTGCTTTCTCGCTACATATTATAATATCCAGTTGCCACTTTTTCATCACCAGCGGTGCAGCAGACGGATTCCTCGATTCCGGACACAACACGCAATGAGGCACCATTTACATTTGTCTTTTTTCAGGTATTCGTCTGCTTTCGCCAGTACTTTGACAACTCCCCTCTGCCCGGCTCCAAATTCTAAATACACAACAGGCGGGCGACAGACTAAAGGCCCTGAAGTGCTTGCTGAAGAGCGGCGACACGAAGAGCATTGTCTACTACGCCGGGGTCAGCCGCAGCCGCGACATCTACATCTTGGCGGCCAATTACTTGCAGAACTTGGACTGGCATGATGACCCACAGGTGATCGTGTCCTTCGCCGTATGTGCACGAATGTCACTACGTTATCGAACCAAAACATTTGAATAGTATGAGCACAAATGGCGTTGTCTCGATGTCTTCACAGATGCCTGCAAGTACGATATTTCAACAAAAACGATCACATCGTTATACTCCTCGTGCACACGCACTTCCCGTGCACCACCACATAAATCAGGCCCTGTGGACCTCACGAATTTTGCACCGTGGTGAGGAAGCCCCCCACACACTCGTGTTCCTTATCAACCAGCAAGAAATCTGGTGGCTCACCTCAGATGTTTCTCACGTTCATTGGTCTAGTCGTAGCATGTTCCACAAGAGTGTGTGTCCTGTAAGTGTGTAGCGTTCGAGTCGGGAGAAGGAACGCACTACGCTCGCTTTGACCAACACACACCCGGGTTGCGGTTTTACCATGCCCGTCCAGGTGATGAAGTCCATCATAGCGTTTTACACCAAGGCTAAGGCGCACTTGCAGCTGTCCGACTTCTACGACGCCTGCGCTCAGGTTTGTCATACTGTCACAATGCTGAAACGCGAATGTGGCATGGAGCGTCTTGTTTCGAAATTGATGGCCCGTCATACAATGCATCTGGTGGCGATAATAATCATGTGGTCTCGTGTTTTTGCTGACGTCATCTTTGTCGTTGTCGTCGTCGTGGCCGGCTCTGGCGGCGTTGTTATTGTTGCTGTCGTTGCTGGTACTGCTCAGGAATGCGTGCGTGCGACACGTAAGCCCGTTGACAGTAACCCTTCCGTACCTCGATTTGTTGCAGCGCCCTCGACGCCTCCCCCCAGATAAAACAAAGTTCCATTCCCACCAGAGGCTATCAATACCAAGCCCATTCAAATATTGTCAGAATTGTCTTGAGTAGAGTTTCAACATGGCTATTCCTCCTCCACCAAAGAAACACGCAACCATAGACGGAAGAATCGTAGGAGTATATTACTACGATGTGATGGACTAGCGTGCCAGACAAGAAAACACGCGATTTTCGCCAAGATGGCTATCAGGAGAAACGACCCTTTCACCAAACGTCTTCTCAAATCCCAAGGTGGAGATCGACGAGTACAGGGACTACGAGAAGGCTCTGGGGGCAATGAACGAGGCCGCCAGGCAGCTCGCCAAGGCCGGTCCCGCAGGGGACAAACTGGCTCAGTTGAACAAGAGGGTTTTCCTCGTGGAAAGGTGCGAGGTAACAGATTGTGGCCGATCCCATCGGCTGTCGCTGCTGAACAAAGAGTTGGGCATTTCTGCATATGAAGCCGACTCAGGTAACATGCCGGGGGACCCCGCGAGAGCGTCGCCCTTTTGTTTGACATCTACTATGATCGTTCATGCTTCAAGGTGGACGGATGCCACTCTCCGTTGGCGCGTCATCAAGGATAGCGCAACGACCCCCCGTCACTACGGCACGTTTGTGCCCTATACTGCGCCTAACTCGTGGTCTGTCGGGTTAGCTAAATAGGGAATGGATAACCCGGGCGGGATGACGACCATAATAAGCTCGCCCTGTCTCTGTTGTTGATTGCTAACCTCTCAATCAATGTATCTATGCCGTTTTCACTGAGATACTGCTGAATATTCGTCCAAATGAGCTTGTCGTTTGGTATTGTCCATCCAGGTTTGTACAGGCGCGACGACTGGCGAAGGACGACCCTGACGGCATGGCGGCTATGTGTCAGCAGCTCTTGGCTAACGATGACCTCGAGACGGCGATGAGAGCGGGGGACGTCTTTGCGGCCCTCGTTAATCACTTCTTCGAAAGAGGCAATTGGCAGCAGTGCCACTCGCTCATGGGAAGGTAAGGTCGTTCTTCTCGTTGTTATTGTCTCCTCGGAAGGAACTATTTTCCATCCCCTCCGCTCCCCGTTTTAACCAACCGGCAAGAATCACTTCGTGGAAAGAGGGTGCAATTTCGAGGGAATATTTGCGTCTTTATTTCACCTTGGTACGATTGAGACTGGTGCTCATATGGAATGGTATCGAATGGCATGTCGTGGATGGTATTGTGTGGGATTGGTTCGGCGATCCGATATGCTACCATGTCCCCGGCCGCCCGTTTTGACTCCAGCCCCATCTTCGATTGGTCACTACCGCGTGAACCTGGATTGCACAGTAAGTTCCTTGACCGAGGGATAGTCGCATGCCCGTGCCTCGACTACTTAGTATGGGTCACCGACACGCTTGAAAAATGTCTAACTCATACCGCGTTTCGCCTTCGGATGTGCACAAATAAACCCGCTTTGTCCGGCCGCCATGGGTCCACCTCCCGCTCGTGACGGAACAAAACCACACGGAACATTTTCGTGAACCAACAGCATGCGCGACAGAGGGATCGTTCTGGATCCGTACCTCGATCATGGAGTTCTGGCCAGGGTGTGCCAGGAAGTCGGAGTACCAGTCGAAGAGCTAGACCCTTCCGGCGCCGGTCTTGCACAGGTCAAGCGTTCATGTATTATTAGCCGATGTTCGTCTCCCCTCGTAGGAAACCTTGTTGCGTATCTAGACTCCTTGGGCTGCGTGCTCCTTCTGTAATATTCGGTTTGCACTGGCACTATTAATATGTAAAACAATCGGGGTGAATTTCATCGATAGTCAACAATGGCATAGTAGCTCATGAACCTTACAACCAATTCAGTTCCTCGACATCGACGACGACGCAACACGAAGAGGTTATTTCTAAGCGTCTTTTTGCATTATCTTTCGACACTCTCAAACAGGCGGGTGTCGGTTTCGGCGACGACGCGGAGGATGAAGTAGGTGAGGAGGACCTCCCAATGGAAGAAGAGGAGGTGGCGTCAGACGCCGAGGGCGACTTCAACGGCGGGGACCAAGGAAGATCCTACAAGTAGATGGCGGTCACAATACCTTCTCTCTTCTTGTGTCTGCATGATTTCACGCGATACTCATCGATCTTCATTTGTATTGTGGTGATGTTTCTGCAAAGACTACACTAAGAACGTAGTTTGTGCTGATCACCCACCGCACACGATAAGCGGCAAGGAAGACGAACGGGAAGAGCTTGATGATTGTTGTTCGAGTTTTTCCATGTTGTCGAGAGGGTTTGCTGAATGTTAGCCTCACGCGACGAGGGTTGGGAAAGGTGTGCCAACGCGTTGTGATTTGAAGTTGGCAGCTTGAATGATTGAACCAAAATAAATATTATCGTGATCGTCCTTTTATACGCGTACAACATATTACCTGGTAGTCTACAAATAGATGTGTTACTGTTAGCGATTAATGACGTATAATAGCTTTGAACACGAGTGATCTGATGTGGGGGACCTACTGTAGTAACACAAGAGAAATGTTCATGAGGAGGGTATCCGTCGATTGACTCTCGTACCTACGCCTTCGCAGAAAATCGAAAGCGGTTTTCCGGACGATGCTCGTTCCTGGTACAATGTTGTTGTTGTCTTCACATTTAAAACCGTTCCGGTCTGTCTCCACTCAGCGCCTTCTAAATGTCAGTGCTCCAACTGACGCGGACGGTACATATACAAGTAATTACGCATTTTATTTTCTTGTTTGTGTGTATTTGTGTGTATTCGGCAGATCACAGATACGCATACATTTGCAGATTCCCGAGATCTTCGGGGTTTATTTCGTGGATCTGTTGGGTTCGGTGGACTTGCCTCTCGCTCTGTCTCCAAGGGGACTTGAGTTCACTCCTTTTCTTCTGTTCAGAAACAACGCCCTCGACGAGAGGTCTTGAGCGTGACAGCGAAGTTACGCGTGGACACCCCAAACATATCCTAAACAGGTATACTGCTGTTAAGTCCTTCCTCTGTGAATTGTTTTTTTATATTTTCTAAGAAACGCTGAGCCGGCACAATGAGCGACACAAGAGCGCCTACTTGATGTTTGCTCAAATCAAGAATTCTGGATTATTTTTCTGTAGGCAACAAAGAATCAACACACAAAACAACTAATTGAGAACGCAGATAAAGCGCCTTCTTCTTGCTCCCAACGTTTGTTTTCTCATCAGACCAACCCGTTAGTAACCTGCCTAGGTTGCCCTACTGTTCATCTTTTTGTTTTTCGGCCTCTGGCCTTGTCTGGCCTAAACAGATCTTTCTCAATAACTCTACTCCTTTTCACTGAAACCCTCTTCTAGTCGTCGACCGACTAGCCCCCCGCAGACTCCCCCCTCTCTTGAGCGATAGGTGTGGGGTGGGTGGGCGGGAAAATCGATCAATTCCTAGAAGGCACCCCGTGTATGCTGCTCCTCGAAGCTGCTATCTATCTGAAGCCTCCTCTCTCAAGTACGCGTTGGCTTGCCTCTCGCCCATTGAGAACACACAACCTTTCTGACCTCGCGGGGCTCTTCAATTTCCCCGCATCCCTGCTTCTTTCCGAATTCCAACACGCCTCCACGAACACCAGATTCAAATACGTACCTTCACGTTTGCTAAATACAATGGATGGTCTACAGCAAAGAAGCAGGGGCAAAGAGCCACCGCAAAACTTTTCTGGTCTTGTACGCAGATAGATCGGAAGATCCGATATTTTTCGGGAAATTTTTTGCGCGCTCACCAAGCACCAAGACCGCCGTGTACCGTACTCCCGTAGGAGTGCAGCAGAACGCCTTTCCGTTACTTCTCCTCTGGGAAGACTTCTCTGCTGTCGGGACAACGTCTTGCTTTTCGACCTGAGCCTAACCCGAGCCAAGCGAAAGCCAGGGAACGAACGCACCACCCCAAACGTTGCTACTTCTTCTCCGATCATCCAAGGGGTGCATGCAGGGCGTCCTCTGCAGCCCTTAGCGGTATACTGCTATACAGAGTAGTTCGGACGATCAGCAGCTTCCTCCCTCGATTCCAGCAGGTAGGCGCCGTTGGAGAAGGAGCTCCAGCTATCCTCCGTCCGCGGGAAGAAAAAATAGAGCTTTCGACCTCTTGGTTTCGAGTAGACACACAGGTATGGGTGGCCCCATTCAACCGGAGATCTATGGTTGTTACTCTCGCCCTCGCCGTCTTTCCGTCTTTCACGTCGGCGATGAACGGTTGAACCGGCACCTCTTTGCGCGAGAGCACACTTGCGCCGCTTGTTGTCACAATACCAGGCCTGCTACACATCTATCTGCCGTCGACAGTTCGCTTGGCGGCAAACATTTTGGTTGCACAGATTGCTGTCTAGACTTCAGCTTACCCACTGCTGTAGCTTTACCCGTCCGTCTGGCGGGTTCAACGCGAAACTGCCCAAAGGTTGCCCCTCCAAGCTATATAGCTACTTCTTGATTCACACATCACGACACGAATTTATTGCCAGAATTGTGTGATAGTCTCGCCGCTGTCGTCCCGTACAGCGAGACTCCAGGTTGCGTTTTGTTAGTGCTTACCAAACGTTAACACTTGGCTTCCACAGAACATTCGCGGTAGACACGTGGGCAAGCTTTCCTTCCAACGCGCATGTCTGATGCATGCATCAACCCCCCCACCCACCCGAAAGGCGGTCCAAGGTTTCGCCGCATCCGCATATAAATGTATACGCACAAAGAGAAAAGAAGGTAGCTGGCTGGCCGCCGCCGTGTGTGAAAGGCACAGTGTTCCAGATGCTGTTGCGCTGTTGCGCTGTGATAGCCCGCAATGTAGTGGGAAAATGGGTAAAGCGTAACCCCAGGCAGGGTCTGTGTTGCAAGAGCAGCCGCAACGCCGCAACGGAGTATTGTTTTCACCTCCGCCGGCCGCCGGGGAGAAATAATATTTACATTATTTTTTTTATTTTTTCGCGCCCGCGCGGGGCAACCGCAGCCGAGGTTATTTTTTACTAGATTCGAGAAAAACTTACTATTTACGTCAGCTTGTGAAAACCGGCGCAAAAGAGAAAACAATGATTCACACGTTGGGTACATACACTGTTTTGGAATCGGGACCGCGGTTGCCTCAAACATCGGCCTGCACGTCGTGGTCCCGGTGTAACCTACATAGTGCCATGAACAACTTGACAAACGTTATTGAGCGCATTCGCTGAAAACCTTTCGCGGTTGCGGTAGAGGTCCCTGTTTAGTGCCGAGGTGTGCGCCGAAATTTCACCGGCACTGTACCGGGCACCGGCGCTATTGTTCAGAGTGCCAAAGCGGCGCTATTCAGAGTCTGAAAATCCCTCAATTGAGGACAACTATGAGTGCAGCGCTTACACTGCGGGGTCAACAGAGTACCTTATTAGACGTAAATGGTGAGATCATAGCATAGGCGGCGCGGGCAGACTGTGCCACGATACATGTAGGATGGTTCCTACCCTGTCGAACACACAGATTTTGCTGTAGAAAGTTAACTGGGCGGGACACAGAAACGTACTTCATGGCCTGAAATGTCACGTCAACCCTTCTCATGAATATCGCACAGGATATACGAAGTATACCTCACAGCTGTGGCAATGGCCTTGCAAGGATCAAACCATTCCGGGCAAGCTCAATTACTCGACAGCGAAAGGAAGATGCTCACTCAGGCACCCTATGTATCTTTGGCGGTAATAATGTTTGTGAAGCTCCAATCAATGCATACACTCACTCCTACTAAACGAACGGAAGCAAAATCCCACTTCTCCTTGCGCTCTTTCGATGTAGCGAGAGCGGGGAAAATGTACGTATGTGTGCGAGTGAGTGTATAATTTGCGCCGATGGCGCTAACCGACTGATCGATCAAAAGACAGACGTTGTCTGTCTCGGCGTGGAAAAAGGAAATTATGAATGCTACCAATAATCCCATGATCTGGGACCCCATCGTGTGGTCTTTTTAATAGCATCGACCCCGTTTGTGCGCGTTCATTATCGTGTGTGCTTTCTTCGTTGTGATTGACCGCACTAACCGGCTGACCAATGAAAATACGTCAGAGTCAGAGTTCGGTTGACAACACAAAAATCTTTAAAATGCCATGATCTGGGGGGTCTCCCACACTGTCTACAGTTTTCCCAAACGACCCATGGGTGACCCATGGGCCGCCCATGGGCACCCTAATTTAACGGCACCCCGTTAGGCCCATGGGCAGCCCATGGGGCGGCCAATGAGATCCCTTCAACCGAACCAGTGTACTCCTAAACAATGGTAGATTATCTGCGATGGAACGGGCACAATACATTGCGGCTTAGCCCTTACTAACCCTAACCCTAACCCCAAGCCCACACGATACGTGCTAGGTTGGCACTGGTGGCTAAGTCCTAGGTTGATGTGCAGGTGGCAAAGTTCTAGGTTGATATGCCGGTGGCGAAGTGCCGCCCATGGGCCGCCCATGGGTGACCCAGGGGCGACCCATGGGTGTCCCTTTGGCGGTTTAGCAAAACTGTCAGTAGTGTGGGAGATTGGATCTGGGGGCCCATGAGGAGGCGTCATGGAGGGGGCTAGCCACTCTCCGCACTAACCACATAAACGGTAGCAACAGAGGAAACTATACGTGGCTAGCAAGGCTACCGCCTTGTACGCGCGTTCCTTTCGGGGTGCTTTCACCGTCCGCTTTTTTTTCACCACCACTCTCATCGCCAATTATTGCAACTTTATTGGCGGACCGTCTCTCAAAGTGTGTGCATATTGACGTTCTAACCGGCTGCCCAATGAAAAAAGACGTCAGTCTCAGTCGGCTGAAAACAGTGAATCTTTCTCAAGGCCATGTTTTGGGACTCCATGAGGTGTGTGGGTGCGTGAACCAGCAATATCGTGGGTACAGAAGTGCCGAACCGGCACGATAGTGGGCATCCCTCAATAGTGCCAGTCTGGCACTAATCAGGGATGTCTGTGCGCCGAGGATTGACCGGCACTAAACCGGCAACCGGCACTATTCAACCGGCACTAATAAACAGGGATCTCTACTTTATCTAAAGCGGGGAGGTCAATAACATGAATAGGAAAGAACAGTT